TCAGATAGTCCTTGAGGAGTTTGCGAATAGAGGCACAAAGTGCATGGCTAACAGCGCCATACTCAGCCCGACTCTGAATTTCCACGAAAGTCTCCATTGCACTATAATGTGTCGCCATCTTCAACATAGACTGGGTGAGGTCTCGTAGGGTCGGGTCCAAGCCTGGCGCTAATTGGTAAACGGGACCAGTAAGGCGGTCCTTCTCCGCGGCTGGGTCATAGGCGCTCTGGTAGTGAATATACTGTCCTTCGAAGCCCATAAACACGAATAGTAGATCCTCCAGGATGGCAGCTTCCTGCGCGTCTGACGAAAGCTCACGAAAAGGTCGAGGGGCGATGGATTGAGGCGCATTTGAAGCCAATGGAGGGACTGATACACGACTGGCGAGAGGGGCTGTTGAGTGAGGAATGAGACATGCTTGCGGATCCCAAGGCGCTGTGTATACAAACAAGTTAGTACGTCTCATCTCGAAGTAAAGCTAATAGGGGCAAATCACGAACCTTGGCTAGTCTCTGTCTCCTGCTTTGTAGCTGTTGCTGGTCTTGAATGCGCAGCAGGTGGTGCCTTCTTGGCTTTCTTCTTATCCGAGTCGTCGAATTCCCTTCCGGCTCGCCATTTCTCCGCCAGTACTGATCGCTCCGTATGTTTTCCGGTTACTTTTTTGACTTCGCGTGTTGTCTTGTACTTTGGACTGGTGGTACTTGTGCGCAAAGGGTCCATTTTATCGTTTTGGAGCGGCGATTGGGCGCCGTGTTTAAGCTTGTCGGCATCAACGCGACTTGAGGCAACGCGGGGTCGAGCAGTGCTGATGTTGCTAACGCGACGTTCAGGGATGGACATGATCCCGGAATGGAGTAAGCGATATCATGTAAGAAAGAGAAAATCGAAACAGCAAATCAAAACAGACACAGAAGGCGCGAAAGCTAATCAGCCCGGCGCGAGGAGGTGTGGTTGCGATGCGATGCCATGCTTCCCAATGGTTGGGCGACATTCGTTCACCGCCCGCCGCGCAGGCAAACAAGAGTTGCGTAGGTTACGAGCTTCCCGAGCTTCGTCCTTCAGTCTTCCCCAGTCCAATCCACCACTTCCTCCTCCCCATCCCTTTCACCTTCTCGGGATTTACTCGAATTCATTAATCTCTTCGGTGATCTCTCCCGTCTTCAGTCAACCCGCCCAATATGTTCATTGCCCGATCTGAATATGGTAAGCTCCGTCACATCTCACTCCACTGCCCGGATTGCTAACAGCTTCGAATAGACCGTGGAATCAAGTACGTATCCTAGCCTAGCTATCCCTCTCACTGCATCGAATCCCGTTCTCTAATAATGGCTCGCCCCATACAGCACCTTCTCCCCTGAAGGTCGTCTATTCCAGGTCGAATACTCCCTCGAAGCTATCAAGCTAGGTTCCACAGCAATCGGAGTACGTTCCAGCCCCGTCCAGCCTATATTCCCACCATCTTCCATCGCAATTAGACACGGACACAAAGGAGGGACAATTTGTTGCCCCGACTAGAGAGGCACTTGTTGCTGTCAGCCGGAGATCACCCCGCTAACATTGGTCAAGGTTGCAACATCGGAGGGAGTCATCCTCGGTGTCGAGAAGCGTGTGACATCCACCCTGCTCGAGGCCTCATCGGTAGAGAAGATTGTCGAAATTGATCAGCACATTGGTTGCGCCATGTCCGGTCTGCAAGCTGATGCCCGTAACCTGGTCGAGCATGCCCGTGTCGAATGCCAGAACCACGCCTTCCACTATGCCGAGCCCTTGCGCGTTGAGAGTACTACACAGGCCATTTGCGACTTGGCCCTCCGATTCGGAGAGAGTGGCGATGACGAGGAGAGTGTTATGAGCAGACCGTTTGGCGTTGCTTTGTTAATTGCTGGATTTGATGAGGATGGCCCTCAACTGTAAGTGGCCTTGCTGGGTGTCAATCCCTCCTATCTTGCACGGATTTAATGTCTCTAACTGTCAATATTAGGTACCACGCTGAGCCCTCCGGAACATTCTACCGATATGATGCCAAGGCCATCGGCTCTGGAAGCGAGGGTGCGCAGGCAGAACTGCAAAATGAATACCACCGTTCCTTGACGCTGGCCGAGGCCGAGACCCTGGTGTTGAAGACCCTGAAGCAGGTTATGGAAGAGAAGCTGGATTCAAAGAACGTCCAGTTGGCCAGTGTTACCAAGGAGAAGGGATTCCGTATCTACAATGACGAGGAGATGGGCCGGGCTGTCGAGCAGCTGGGTGGAAACCAATAAATGATTAGCACGTCTGGATTTTAGCCGCGATAAATAATCTCAATCCACTTCTGTTGAGGTAGAGAAAAAGGAGGTGTATGCATATCTTTGTTGAATCTTATAAGAACTCTAAAGGTCTATTCTACATATCTGGAGGTAGTCTCGAGAAACGGGGTGTTTTCTTATTGGCCAACGCTGCACCATCATGACTATACTATCATGCTTCTATTCTCTTCAGCAGCCATTCTGGAATCGTCGGTTTCTGATCCCACTGCGTACGCCAGTTCTCAGCATGGCCCGGCAAGGCATAGACAGCCGTTACCAACCAAAGATCTTGACCTGGTGATAGATCAATCCCTATCGAAGGCAATAGTGTCCGCCCATGGATGATATTAGAATTAGGGTCAGCAAGCACAATTCGACCAGTCCGCGAGCTGGAGGAGTACAACTCAGTGATACCCACAGCCCCAGCTGATGAAACCACCAGCGCACTATGATCATCATGCACTGAGCCCTCCGATTCACCTGATTTCATGGGCCCAAGAATCCGACCATTATCACTGCGGCATCCATAAATAGCAAAGGCACCCTCGGAGGTTTTGAGTGCTCGACCTGTGCGCACACGATGTGCTCGTATATGCCAATTGGGTGTCTCGACTGACGGTGGGATAAGAATCGTCTCTATCTCAACATCTGGCCATGGATTCCAGCTAGACACGAGTACCGGAGTACCATCTGAGCCAGGCTCCTCGAAATGAGCATCCACAGCAAGTCGTCGCGTGTGCCAAAACTCTCCGCCATCTTCAGACAATGCAAGCATGCTATCTGGTGCGAATTGTTCAAGTTGGTAGGAACCTGTAGGCACAGAATATCCGAATGCAGAGCTGTATGCGAACTTTCCATATTTTGCCTGCGTGGCTCTCATTGGGTAGTGGCACGCTTGTCCAGAGGACAGGAGGAATGAATGACCCCCTCGGCGTATACTTATATGCTTGGGATATTTGAGAGCAACAACTTCCGATAAGGAGGAGGGGCATGGCTCTTCCTCCGAGGCCCAGAATGGATGCGATTCAGGTAGCGCCAACGGAATGAAGGAAAGACAGCACCAATATGGAGATCCAGGCGAGTTATAGTTCTCAGTCAGGTACATGTTCGCATATGAATACCCGAGATTGAGAGTGCCGTCATTGTTGAAAATGTCTTCTTGCGTAGCCCACCAGCGAAAATTCCGTAATAAGAGTCCCTTCACTACGCCCCAGGTCAATGGTGCTGGCAGTTCCACGTCTGCGAAGCCCAGGGCTCCCCAGAATCCAACCATGGCGAAGCGATAGGTTAGAGATCGTCCGAACGGTATAGCCCGACCTAAATTTCGCGTAGTTTCAGTTAGCATTTGATGTCTTATAAATTCACAATGAAACATACCGTCTGGGTTGAAGTAGTACACGAAATCCTTCGCAAACTCCTTAGCTCGCTCGCGATATCTCTCAGCTCTCTCGGGATCAAAATCGCCAGCCAGTTTTGAATAGAGCAACTGCAGGAATTGAATAGCGAAAGAACCTGAGTAATAGTCCATCTGATGATGGCTTTTAGGCCCATCATTGCTCCAGCCTCCACCGACGTGGAAAGTATCCAAATGATCCATATCGGCTTCGATGCGTGCAAGAGAGTAAGAAGCACCATTCTTCCGTAGACCTAGATTCGCGAAGACCCGAAACCAAAGCCTACAACGAGAAATTAAAATCAGCTAGGTCCGATATCATGTCATACTGAGGATGTTAACTTGAACATACCAATTTGTATTAGGCATTTCCCGTGCATTAATACTCGCAAGCCAATTAGTCACATTATCCTTCTGAGCCTGCGTCAACGGCTCCCAAAAGACATGCGGCGCAACAGCAAGCGTGAAACCAATAGGACACATCTCAACCATACGCTGATCCGAATCTTCTATATTACCCCAGAATTCAACATGGTTCGGATCAGTGCCGTTGATGATTCCTTCGCGCCAGCGCGCAGCCTCGGCGTAGTCATAGTTCCCCGCAAGCAGAGATGCCAAAGCCCAGAGTGGTCGTGCATAGCCCTCGATTTGGGCGCCTCCTCGTCGAAGCGGGTTGTTGAGGTTCCGATTTTCACGCGACTGCCACCTGGAGTAAAGAGGGGGAGTAAAGGGTCCAATAGTGCACGGCATGCGGCTTGCAGATCCGCACGGGTGCGAAAAGGTGAGTTGCTGAAGGCCTGTGAGGGCGTACTTCCGTTTGCTTGGATAGACATTATACAGAATACTTGGGCTTTTCAACCTTGGAAAATTTTTCCAGCATAGCATTATTCACTGGGCTTGGGAGTTTGGCTCCAGGGGTATATATAGTAACTCGAAGTTCGATCGGAGTATTTCCCCGAAAGCCGACGTGGGAGAATAGCCTCGCCTGGTCTAGTGAACCCCCACGCTAATTAGGTACCGCACCTTGGACGAAAGCCATACTCGGCTCATTGAGTTCAGAAAAGAAATGGTCTCATCTTGGTTGGTGGGTGTTTATTCTACCATATTCCGGCTAAAAGTCGATCCTGGCAAAACCCGGTGATTTGTAGGGGTCCGCGGGGTATGCGATGTCACATTTCCCCGCATTTAGTATTACTTGAAGTATGGCGTCTCGAAGTAGATAAGTTCATTATTATTGCGTTGTCTCGAGGTATTGATGATAAGATATTGCAATGATAGGCTTGTGTTTGTGAGGTTTGAGGCAAGATCCGTGCCAAATCCCTCTAATTATTTCCTTCAGAACTTTTCTTGTATTCCTGATTGGCACCATGGCCAGCACCACTGATATCGCCCTTGCCCCTCCGTAGCCAAAAAAAGCCAAGTCCAGCGACGGCCAAGGCTGAGGCTATGATCAGTCTAGCGTGCAGAGTTCTGATCAGCCTATGTCATATTTGTGTGAAGAAATCAATGGATGTATCCGAGTGCTTACCGCCGCTGGCCGCCTGGCTCTACCTCCTTTGCCTTCTCGTCGATAGAGTAGCTCCTCCGAGTACTAAGAGTTGGAACGGGGAAGAAAGCTCTCGTAGCTGCCGGTCGCAATGGATTTGTTGCTAGCCGGCGCATTGATAATATTCGAATGGAAATAGATTGTGCCATGTTGAGTATAGGGAAAATTAAGCACTTGATCAAAATAGTTCAGAAGAAAATGTGAGGCAAGCCGTAGGAAAACGAAGTTGATGTAGAATCCTCCACATTACAGCAACTACGAGAATATTATAATAAATTGCAGAACCCCAGATAACGGGTTCCATGGAATAGATGTGGAGCAAATCCCCCCCTGCAGATAAGTTACATCATGAGACAAGAAAGGAATATCGCCTCATAAAACAAGAATAAACTCTTTGCTTAAGGGCTTGAGAAGTCGGTAAAAGGTCAAGAGGAAGCAGAATATTGAAAATATCGACACGCAGCAATTTTGGAGCTTCTATTCCATCTACCTATCGTATACCAAATATTTACGCTGTTTATGTATGATCAGAGCGGATAAGCAAGCAAAGCTGCAATGCTCGACCACCAGCTATGGAGTTCTCACGCGGAAGATCCGGCTTCTCAAGGCATGAGCAACAAAGGCCTAGAGCTGGAGGATCCTGGTCGTCTCATCATACCAAGTATCGGCTTCGAAAGCCTCCAATCAATCGAATAAAACTTCAGGATTTCAGAGCCCGGTCCAAGGAGAGAAGAATACCGAACAGGGCCCTAACAAGTCAAAGACTCGCACAAACCAGGAATTGAATGTCGAGTGACCAGAAATATTCCTGCTCTCCAATTCTCACGCTTGGTGACTTATTCCAGTTCAAATCTTGTTTTGTATTGGGGAAGGTTGGGTTCGCAGTGATCAGGATACGGTCACCTAACGTCATTTATCGTCATAGGCGGGGGGACGTTAAATTAACATCTGCATTATATTAGCTTCAAATTTTATGTTAGTGTTAGAAGAAATTGCAGTTCTCTTTAATTACGCTTCTAAAAACATGATCATGCCTCAATCTTCGACAAGTGGTGGTCGTCACGACTCTAAGGTCGCTGATAGACTCGATGCTCAAAACAGCAACGCTAAAAGTGCGATTTGCCTATTTCTTTCTCAATGTCCCTACCCGGTGCAGGAAATGAAATTAAATAGATAATCCAGGTCACGGAAGCCCATCAGAAGCAAACTCAGAATCTCAGCAGCATCAACGCAATGGCGGTGCCTCCGGCAACACTGACAGCCCTCGCAATAGAGAGCAGAGACCAGATTCGATGAATAATGGGGACCGCCGCGAAGACATTGCCGCAAGTAATCGGTTCATGCCTCAATCTGGAAAACCGGCGGGAATTTATAACACCCAAGAAGAGAAAGACGACCAGCATCGCGAAGATATTGCTGCCAGCAATCGCTTCATGCCCCAGGCTGGGAAACCTACAGGGACATCGTCACTATGACAGAGAAAAATCTTAACGATCCACTCTTTCTCTTTAGAAGCATGGCTTCATTTTTTAGTTTTTATTTTTCTACTGATGTTTGTTCTGCTGTGCGGCCGGTGAATATCAGGGAAATGCCATACCGTCAGGAATAGCTTCCGATCTGTCTATGCGGAGAACAAGTATGATTTTCAACCATCTTTCTCTTATTGAATATGTACAATGTGACCAATCCCCCCCTGGAATAATGATAATCAATTCTTCTGTCTCAAATAAGTTAATGGGATATAACCTTGTCTAATATAATCACCCTAGAAGATAGAAAAGGATAGTATCCGGGAGATGTTAGTAGCTCCTTCGTCAAGAGTTGACATAGTGACACTCTGACATTCCACAAAAACCATAGATAGTATGCAAATCTTTGTTGATATAATTTTAGTCACGGATTTGGAGGCATCAAGATCCCTTTTGAAATATTATGGCGTGAATTATAAACTATCCCTCTTAAAAGTCTTATTTCGCAAACTGGGCCTCTCTCCTTTAGCCATTGACGACGATACCACCATTCGGATGAAGACTCTGTCCAGAGATGAGACTACTATCCTGGCTCGCAAGAAACACAAAACAGGTGGCAATTTCACTAGGTTGACCTGGCCGACCCATTGGAGAAGTGAATTGCTCCTGGGCAGAAGTATTCATAGTTGCGGGGATCAGAGGAGTCCACACTAATCAATGTCAGAGACGCTAAACTTGGTAATTATGTGACATTATATTAGTACTTACCAGGTCCAGGACACACGGCGTTAACCCGAATGCCATTCTTGATCTGTTGATTCGACAGACCTCGAGTGAACGAGATGAGTGCACCCTTGGTTGATGTGTAATCAAGAAGGTCCGGTCGTCCAATATAAGCGTTTATAGAGGCGCAGTTGATGATAGAGGAGCCGTTCTTGAGGTGCGGCAGAGTGTACTTTGAGAGGTAGAAAACCGAGTCGATGTTTGTGGCGAATGTTTCTTCCCATTGGTCCCTGTGATCTTGTAAGCGCCTGGACTTGAGAAATTCTTCCGATCGGCCTACTCTGTCAAATCTTTAATGTCCTCGATCATATTCTGAGTTCCAGCATTGTTGACGAGAATATCAATCCCCCCCCAAGGATTCCAAAGCCTTGTCAACAACTTTCTTGCAGTTGCTCCTTTCGCGCAGATCTAATGCGATTGTATAGCATTTCTGACCGTACTCCTCGACACGTCGAACAGTCTCCCTACCATCTGACTCTTCTTCGGGCAAGTATGTGATCAAGCTAGAGGCGCCTTCCATTGCGTAAAGTATTGCAGTCGCGCGGCCGATGCCTGAATCACCACCAGTGATAATTGCCCTTTTCCCAGCCAGCTTACCAGCCGCTTTATACGTTTGGTATCCATTGTCTTCTGTCGGAAGCTGGGTATTTGTTGGCTTTGGGTCTGCAAGTTCCTGCTGTCGGCCAGGCTTTTCAAGGTGTTGGATAGCAACCCTGTGGCCTATCAAATGTTTAACAAATTAATTTGACTAAAATCACTCTTGGCATGCAAAAGCCAATTTGTAACATACCTTGCTCAAATTGAGACTGGGGCTTTTGCGCAGCACGTTGAGTTTCCTGCTGCATGGCGAAAGTGTTTGGTGAGATAAAGGAAATAAAGGAACTGTGCCATTCTCAGGGCTTTTCGCAATTTATGCCTACCCTATATACAGCTTCCTTCTGTCAGTATGACGTGAAGAATTGCTAAACCAGGCGATAAATATCTTGAGTACTTCGACCATCAAACTTGTCGTCGGCATTTTGCACAACGTGCAATGTCGCGGGCAGCGAATCAGCGACCGTATGAAAAACCGGAATGGACCGCATAAAAAGTAAAAGAACCAAGATAACAATATGCGGCTCCCGCATGACGAATAATGAAGTCAATTTTTCGATGGACTTTTAGCTATGATTCTAGCCCTTCCTTCCAATAAAATCATGTTCTTACTTGAGACCTCGTGTCCCATTATTACCGACACCACTTTTCCGCGGTTTATTTTCCAATTATGGCAGACGGTGTCATACAACTTCAATGCGAGTGCAAGGTACGACAACTCGAGATTCAGTCATTTATCAAGTTGGCTCACTGTTACGCTTTAGCATGATGCATGGGGTAAGAAAGGCAATGAATCTCTCGCCGGTCGTTTGTGGTCACAGATGCCCGGTGCAAGCCCGCTAGATGATTCAGAAACTTACTCGGAGGTTTGTGCATCAGGCGAATCATTATTAATCACTTTTGGGAGAGACACTTATTTTTCAATGGATAGATGTGGATGGGCACGTACCCTTCTGTGCCGTCTCGACTTGCTTCAAGTGGCGAGCTGCTTTCCGACCATGTGAAGAGGAACCCCAGCCTACTTGGTGAGACATATTGTGAGAGATACAGAAGAGAAGTACCATTTTTACCAAAGGTAGGGCACATCTATTGATTCGTGATATCATGAAGTCGGACTAACCAAATCAGATTCTCTCTTTCGCGAAGGCCCTGCCTCTGCAGCTACACCCAGACAAAAAGTTGGCCGAGAAACTCCACGCGCAAGATCCCATCAAGTTTGGGGATACCAATCATAAGCCCGAGATTGCGGTCGCGTTGACTAGGTTCGAACTATTTGTCGGCTTTAAGCCCATCGGAGAGCTCGCGGACATATTAAGGTTGGGTCCTCTCCAGACAATCTTGCCCCAGCATGAGGTTGTCAATGAGGGAATTTTGAGAGAGGTCTGTCGAACTCTACTGCAAATTTCATCGAACACAGTTTCGGATGTTGTCAAAAATCTGAAAGCCATTCCCCTATCAGAACTTGGAGAAAAGAATCAGTACATACCCAATCTCTTGGAAAGATTAAGCGAACAATATTCGGATTCCGACAATGGACTTCTAGTCGCCTCGCTACTGATGAATTTCATGACATTGGAGCCAGGCCAGGCTGTTTGTGTGCCAGCGGATAGTATCCATGCCTGGCTATCAGGTGATATTCTTGAATGCATGGCGCGATCAGATAATGTCCTGAACACGGGTTTCTGCCCTCGCGCCAGCAGAGACAACATCGAGCTGTTCACATCAGCTCTGACCTTTAAGCCACATGATCAAGAGGCTGCACTGTTGCCAGCTCGGCCAAGCTTGATGGGAATTAACGAGAAGACTGTCAAATACACGCCCCCGTTCAGTGAATTCAATGTTCTAGCCACGAATTTGGCTGCAAAGGAATCGGAGACTCATACCGATTTGCAAGCCCCTAGCATCCTAGTTGTGACTGGGGGATCAGGAACAATGAAGGTCCTCGGGGATGGGAAAACTTTGAATTTGAGTGAAGGAAGTGTGTTTTTTGCTGGCCCAGAGGCTAAGTTGCAATTTGCGACTGGCAATGGTATCATGATATATCGGGCTTATGCTACGCTTTAACGAGAACATTATGTACATCGAGAAAGAACAAATTGGTCTGATAATCGAAATTAACAATATTTTGTACATATATTCTGCTCTTAATTTTAGATTGGGAAGAAGTTTCCTAGAAAACGTATAGACATATCGAAGGATTTTATTTGTTCCATGTCATTCATTACGCAATTGACTATACTATTAACCAAGACGGTAATGGAAATATTCGAAACCGAGTCACTTTATAGAGATCCAGCCGCAAGAACATAGCCACCATCAACAGCAACGGTTTGTCCGCTCAGGTACTGATTTGTAGTGGCAAAAAGGATGGCACTGGCCATATCTTCATCCTTTCCCGGTCGAGCTGCAGCAGTCTTTTGTTCATATTTTTCCTTCGGAATGAAGCTCTTTTGCTTCTCATCGCTGGAAGATGTAGTCATCTCACTCGGGAAAACACCAGGAGCAATATTGTTGACCCGTATTGGCAATCGTGAGGTCATGATCTCATGGGCTAGCATTTTGGTCAAATGAATGGCAGCAGCCTTGGAGGCATTGTATGCAAAGTGATGCTGGGAAACCTTGACGATCCCTGAGATGGAGGTAATATTGAGCACGGTACTGGACCACCCATGCTCCTGCTGAGATCCTTTCTCAAGTAGCGGAAGAAATGCGGTTGTCATGAAGAAGAGCTGAGAGACGTTTGTGCGGAAAGTGTCATCCCATGCACCGATATCGCCTGATGGATGCTCAAATAGATTCTGGCGGAGCTCTTCAGCACTCTCAGGTTCAGTTTCTTGTGCACCTGTGGAAATCCCAGCATTATTGATCAAAATGGAGAGAAATTGCTCGCGCGAGTTGATTTCTTTCACAAGCTTGTCAATTGATGCTTTGTCGGTAACGTCGGCGGTGATGGGAATTATTTGACCAGGAATATTTTGGTTGTAGAGTTCGGTGACCTTGTCAAGTTTTTCCTGTGTCCGACCAGTAATATACACCTTTGCACCATTCACAGCAAGTGCCTGCGCGGCCATGAGACCAATTCCCGAGCCACCACCGGTGATTAAAGCCACTACTTCAATTAGCTCCCATCCTCCGAAATTCGGAATTTCTTTCACGCTACCTTTATCGTTAACATTGAAAAGGTGTTCCAGCTGGAATCTTTTGTTATTTTCCTGGGCCTCCATTGCAGCGGATGATTTCCAATTGGTAGTCCGGTAATTTCGTCGCTTGCCGAAAGGGTCGCTATATCGGATCCAGACACTTGTTGCGTAATTTGTGCCTTTAGATATTGAACTAGATTTATGTCTCCAAATAGTAGAGAAACGTATAGATGGGAAAACACAGTATGACATGAGTGGCTAGTGGGAAATTTATAAAGAGTCTGCATAGAAGACAAACTTGAATTTCAATGATGACCGTCACAATTCATAAAACAGGCTCTGATTCCCTGAATATTGAAAATCCGGAATTTTGTATCGACTAACCATGTTCTCAGCACCTGGGCAGTCCTGTGAGCGGCTAGATCAGAATGACGTTGATCGCTTGCTTACCTCATAACTGTCTACTACAGGTACCCGACCGCCTTGAAGGTCGGTGGTATCTAGTAGTACGGAGTAGTTCAAGTTGGGACTTGATAGCCAAGTAATAGGTACTTAATTTAACAGAAAGAGAACTGGAGATATGCCTTTGGTACAATAGCTTGCAGATTATATGCCCGAGTATATTTAGATTTGCATTCTATATACTCTAGCCATATACGGCCGGAATATGGAAGGATATAGCAGATAGTAACTTCACGACACACTTACGACAACACTCAACGGATCTTGTACACACAAGGCTTCAAAACCTGTGCCTCTTGCTCGGGCGTCATGCCATTATCCGGCGTACGGTCAACAAAGCGCTTCTTGGTTCCTGGAGCCGGAGCACTCAGCCCTGTGGCGTGTTTACCCTTGGTCGGGGCACCTCCTCCCTTCACAAACTCCATCTTGACAAACATCTTGTTAGACTTGTCGACGGATTCCTCGCGAAGAACGAAACCACGGGACCGGAAAACCTCAACAAACGCCGAGATATCCGTATCGTCGTTGTGGTTGGCTGGGCGGGCATCTTCAGCGTAGATATCTTCCTCGTCCAGATCGGATTCGTTACCTCCCTTCTTCTTCTGTTTCTTTTGGTCGGCCTTGCTGAGCGGCTTCACAGCTCCGATTTGGGCCTTCTTGCGGGTCACTTTGCCGAATCGGCTCTTCACCTCACTGACCCAGCACTCGCCCTTGCCATCGCCGCGCAGCACACGCCAGGCTTCTTCAACGAAGGACACCCAGTTTGTTCCCATCAGACTGAGACAGAAGATCGCAACGTCGGCGGAGCCATCTTCCAATGGCAGGTTGGAGATATCCGCTTTCGTGATAAGTGGGTCAGGTGACTGGAGATCATAACTGTTAAGCCTCAGGTTCAACCTTCTCTTGGAGGGGGTCAATGTGCGAGCAAGAAGGCCATCACCACAGCCCAAGTCGACAATTGTGCATGCGCCATTGGGTCGGCGGGGCATAGGGAGAGCCCTGTTTGCTTGAGGCTTCTGCCCCCTCTTGGGGACAGGCACCGCAGCCCGACGCCGAACGGCCTGGATATAACCATCGACGGGGTTGGAGGGCCAGGACTCCTTCACCTGGCGAGAGAATCCAGCATGATACTCATCGAACAGCTCTGGGTTCGCATTGAACAGCTCGACGGCCTTGGAAGAATCCGTTGTGTAGAGGGTTTCATTCAGGTGACGGAAACGAGAGGAAACCAACTTCTGGCGCATGGCTTGCTGAAGAGGCGTAAGAGTTGCGGTAGTTTCAGGAGGCGGCGCAAGCGAATCCAAAGCAGCAGCGGTCTCCTTCGAGGGGGCTGTTGCAGCATCCTTCTTGTCTGCCTGGTTCTCATTGTCCTTCTTCTTCTTGTTCTTCTTCTGCTTTTTTGTTTGCTTTCCCTCGTCTTGCGCGGTCTCGTCGGCGATGGGCTTTACGGTCTCGAATTTGGCTTCGGCATTGGCTTCGCCTGTCGTTTTCGGGGAGGTGGCAGGCGCTTGCTTGTCGTCCTTGCGCTTTTTATCGTTGGCAGGCTTGCGGGCGGACTTCTCGATATGCCTGCGATACATATCATCGACATTGCCGGCGGTGACACGGTCATTCCCACGCTTGCGCTTCTTGTTCTTCGCATTTGTTGGGGCATCGTTGCCTTCTTGCGACTCATTTTGAGCTGGGGGCGCCTGCTCGGTTTGCGACTTAAGCGCAGAGCTGGGGACCGACCATCCAGGAACGGCGAACATGGTGTTGACGGTGGTGATCAAGAGGAAAGTAGAGATTACCTCTACTGTTCTCTTAGCCTGGTTGGTAAAGAATGGTCTGCACCAGGGTTGTCTGGGGATGTGAAGTTCGGGGAGCAACTTTTTTTTTTCTCCGGCGGCAGCTCCGCAAAATTTCCCAAGGTTCATCCGGTAATTGGATTACATCCTTACAGTATTGTATATTTGACAACCCCCAACAAATACTACTAGCAGTACACTCTTTGGAAATTGGAAACTTCAATCTTCAGCCTCGAGATCAGCTTTCGTATCTCAGAGTTTCGGATGGATCCAATTTAAAATTCTATTCTTTCGTGTCCCGTTATCTCGGCTGATTTTACGCTGAATGAAGCCCCCTTGTTACCGCCATGTGGGAGGTCAGCCATGCGCGATTAAAGGACCCCTGCACAGCACGACCCTGAGGAATCGCGTTCACGTATTTAAGCTTTGTGCCTTGGACGAGGAGTGGGTAATGCAGTGAGCGATAGGTCAGCCCGCAGGTCAGATCGTGTTCCAAGTTGGCTGATCTGGATTGATATAGAAAAGGGGGTGGTAGCTGGACAGGGGAGATAGTTATCCAAGGATCAGTATGCCCAGTATCCCAGTTCCCAGTATACTAGTACCACCTACTGCAGACAAAGTACACAGAGTACAGAGTACAGAGTACACTGTACACTGTACACTGTAACTGCAACTGTAAAGTACTTCAGTCACACGGGTGATCTGCGATGCTCGGCAGCGTTGCCCGTTTTGTGGAGATCGAATCCAGACTCACCTTAATAGCGCCCTAACTTATAACCTTTTGCCTTTGTGCCCCAAGCTTCCTCTCCCTCTTCCTCTTCTCCCCCTCTCCCCCCTCTCCCCCACTATGCCTTCTTATCAGCTATACTTCCAATCGTCCTGACAAGAGAATACTACTCTTCCAACAACATGCAACCACCGGACGTGGGGCTACCCGACGCTGATAGCCCTGTAGAGGCAGAAGCACCGAGGAATCCGGGCCCCCGCAGACACCCGAAGAAACGAACCAAAACTGGTTGTTTAAGTATGCCCCCAGATCCCTATTCATGCGATCAGAATAATCTAACCCGCTGAAGCCTGTAGGAAACGTCGTATTAAATGCGGCGAAGAGAAGCCAATATGTAGCAACTGCGTCAAATCCAAGCGGATTTGTGAGGGCTACGCCCAAAGAGTGATCTTCAAGAACCCCATGGGTATCTTCGGCGCATATGGCCCTCCCCACAGCAGCCAAGATCTCCAGATGCAGCAGCAGATGCGAGTCCCCATATTCAATGACTATCCTTTACCTGCTCAACAGGCTGCGGCAGCTGCCCAACATCCCATGCTGGCGCCACGGCCCGTGGATGTGACAGCCACAGGTTATCAAGCTATGCAGCCATCTGAGACATCCCCACCAGAGCGGGCACCACCTGCCACTGCACCGCAGTTCTATTATCCCACGCCACCAGTACAGCTTCCCCCTCAATCATGGCCAGTACAGACTGCAGAGGAAAATCGGCGGGCCTCTGAATCTCAAGAACGGACCGACTATGCACCTGCACAGTCCCAGTCTCAGTCCCAGCCCCCACCTCCGCCTCAGTCACGATCGCAGTCACTGTCGGAGTCGGAATCGCAGTCGCATCCTATTAATGTAACAGAAAACTACGCCCATTACGATGAACAAAAGCTACCGGCCCAGTATTTACAGCCAACCGCCAACTGGCAGAGTTTCCCAACATCCCAAGATTATGCCGCCCAATATGCATCTCAGCTGGCTAGCGAATCCGCAGCGAACAAGAGTAATGAAAACCCATTATTCCCATTGGTATGTCTCGATGTCTTCCCTTGGCTCTATGGTTAAAGTAGTCTATATGCTCATCGAGACTATAGCCCATTCAACAATCGGCTTCTAGATATCAGTATCAGTATCAGTATCAGCAGCAGCAGCCAGGACAAGCGACTTCACAGCTCACCACGGCAGAGCCTTTCGTTCCTGCCTCTCAACCACAGGTAACATATGTGGAAGATGAAGATGAAGATTTCTACGATGTAGATTCCGACGACGAAATGGCGGATCAAATACAGAGCGAAGGCTTCAATCAACTGAGTCTCATCATGGCCTCTGCAAATAATGATAGCCAGCTTCGTTCATTCAGGAGTCACCTCAATGAGCCGAATATTCTTGCTAATTATCGCCCCTCGCTCGGATCATCCCCACTGAATAATCCCAAGACGGCCCGTATCTTTGCGCACTTCATCCACTCAACCGGGCCATGCCTGTCTATATTCGAGCGACATGCGACCGACTCGTCGATTGTTTTGGGGGTACAGGTTCCCCTTGCGCAACAGGGTCTTTGGACATATACCCTCCCCCTCAAGGCCTTGGAGCATCCTGCATTACTCCAGGCTATTCTCGCCATCAGCAGTTTGCACATCGCGTATCTCCAAGGAGTACCCTCAACCGTCTCTTTAAAGCACTACCATTATGCATTGAAACGAATTGGTCGTGCGGTTGGCCTTCCATTGCGACGCAAACAAATCGGCACCTTGGCTGCCACGCAGCTGCTTGCGTATTATGAAGTTATATCAGCCGATCACTCCAAATGGAATAGCCACGTTGCGGGCGCTGCTCAACTCGTTAAAGAAATCGACTTTGCAGGCACAACTCGAGATCTTCGAGCGTACAGACGTCAAATTAGTGAGCAACGGCAACAGATAAGGTGGTCAAACCCACAAATGTATCCTTTTGGTTTCGATAACGACGGATCTGAGGACGATCCCTTTGCCGAGAAAGAATCCTCCGTCGACCAAGCATTCTTAAGTTCCATTCTGGGCCGGGCGGTTAATTACGACGAATTTGGCCGTGTCGAACACGAACAGGCCCAATCTCCCAAGAAATTCTTTTCGCGCAAAGATATCGAAAACTTCCGGCTCCAGTGCGACTTATATTGGTGGTTCACTAAACAAGATCTCATGCACAGTCTAGTCAGTGGCGAGAAATTATTGTAAGTTCTGATGCTTGCTTAGTTGGAAATGGCTCTCGCTAATGGAAACCTTAGCATGCCCTTTTATTTGAAGAGCCAGTGTCCACCCCGCGCTGCCATCGGCCGGTTAGACGCCATTTATGGATCGGCCGATCACCTTTGGCTTCTGCTTTCGCGCATCACAGATTTTGGCTATCGAGATCGGAAACGAAAGTTAAAGGCACTTCGTGTTGCTGGTACGGATTGGAGGCCGGGTCCTGGGATGTTCAAATTTATGGGCCGTTTTGCTGGTGGGGGTGGTGGTCCAAACAAAAGACCCGGCCCTCCTGGAAGACCTCCAGGACCTCCTGGCCCTCCAGGTCCCCCTGGGCCTCCCTCATCTACGTCTTCATTTTCGAACACTGGACCTGGCTCCGGTTTCGGCTCTGCGTCCGAGTCACCTCCGGAGTCTCTACAAAGGGGACCTCCACCGCGGCCACCCGCGCCAGAAGGTCCTCCTATGTACGGCATGATACCACCCAGACCTCCGACTCGTCTGCCAGCTGGCTTCGTAGACGGCCGGCAAGAACAACGCGAATCGTCAGAAGAAGCAGATGAGAATGAAATGTCGAGCCAAAGGGCTGTCGAAGAGAAATATAATGAAGCGGAGCAGGAATGGGAGGATATCTTGACAGCACTCGACACATTCGCCCAAGGACTCGGACGAGATTACCAACCGCTACCAGCCGATGTCACACCCTCGATCTCGACCCCATTCGGCGCTGCCTTGCAATACCGTACACACACGATCGCGGTAATATGGGGATTTTACTACACGGGTCGCATCTTGCTGCAACGACTTCACCCATCGATGCCACCGGCCATGATGATGGCTGCCGGGGTGGCTGCACCAACGACAGCAGAATATGCACAGATTATCGGCCGGATCACAGCAGGCATCTACTACCCACAGCGATACAACCTGCAGGCTGGCAGCCTGAGCCCCACCCTTGGGTCCTCCCTTACAGAGATGACAGTGCCGATCTTCTTTGCAGCGGTGCAATATACCGATTCGACACAGCGGGGCTGGACGATAGCCAAGCTCCGCGAAATCTCTCGACTGACAGGATGGAAAACCTCGGACGCTATCGCCAGTGGCTGTGAAAAGTCATGGATTGTGGCGGCCAAACATGGGCGCGGTCCGCCGTATCAGCGATCCTTTGAAACATCTCGAGATCGGGATTCCCAAGTAAGTGAGATCATGCCCAATGGATTTTGATCTGGACTAACATTACCCCTCCCACCTTGATAGGATGTACTTGCTCGAGACTCGGGGGCGCAGCAGAGTGATGAGCGAAGATTTGTGACGGTGGAACCGACTGATCGGGCATATCGGGCCATGGGGCTGCTTAGTTTGGAGGAGGACATGCAAAACCTGGAAGTGTAGATACTCTCGTACATACTCGGACTAGATTCATAACCGTTAGTCAGTTGAGGCTGGTGAGCACTAGACATGTAAATGTTAGTCTAGTGTGTTCATCAGCCACAGTTACTCCACTTTGGTCTCAACTCCAATGTCATCATAGGCTTCTGCCTGACGCGGACCCCTCTAAGGCTGAACACTAGCTTCTTCTTTCAGCTGCATCCTCTTGCACTTGCACTTTTGCCTCCGAGTCCTTTTCACACATTTCCTCTCACTCCTCGACTGTCCCTCGACCCAGTTCCCCTTTCCAACTGGTAGTTCCCCCACCTTTTCGGCCCGCCAAAGTCAGCCGCCCTCGTCATCCACGGTTAAACCCCGTCATCCTTTCCTTTGTTTAGGATTTCGGTACCCCGGTGATTTCCAGATATGTCTTCGCGCTATGATGATTACCGTTCTTCGACAGGCACTCTAGATTCTCGCGATCGTTACGACCGCCACTCTCGCGGTCCACCTGTTGCTGAGCGAGAGCGCTCTCGAGAACGCTCTCGCTTCCGCGAAGAAGACCGCTTTGAATCCCGTCTCCGTGAAGATGACCGATATGGCCCCCCGGCGCGCGCAGCAGGTCGATATTACGAGGATGAGCACCTGTCCCATCCGTCTTCTTCTGGCCCCTTGGTGGCGCATGACCGTCGCCGTCGTCGTGATGAGAGCCCCTCATTCACTAAGCCCCGTCTACTTAGGCGCCAGTCGTCCCTCGATACCTTTGATCGCATCCCTCGCCGCAAGATGGAAGCTTTTGACCGTGCTCCTCCCCGCATGCCCCCACCTCCGGCACATCGTCCTTCACCCGGGCGATACCGTGAACGTGAAGTCTATGAAGACATCCGCATCGCTGAACCGGACTACTACGGCGACGAAGAATTTCGAGAATTCGATGATAGAGAGAGAATGACGATGGATCGTCGTCATCGTCGCTCGAGCAGTGGTGCTCGTCACCGTCATGAAGAGAAACCATACCCACGCAAGGGCAAGACCCGCATTCCTCGGAAATGGGTGCATGTCCACGCTATCTTGGATCTGGGGTACCCTTTCAAGGAGGAGGTAGGCATGCTCCTCAATGGCAGATTGCATGAATACACTATGGTGCCACAGATCTCATGCTAATCTTGATATACTGCATGGCTAGGACGAGACGATCATTATTCAGAAAGCATTGTCTAAGGAGCAAATCGATGAAGTGATCAGTCTCAGCAAATCCTTCCGCCGTCCAGCCCACACAGAAAGTAGGTTACTTTTACTTTCTCGGGGTTCCCTTTGGAAAAGGCCAATGATGGCTAACCAGCACACAGCTGAATATCTCCGTATCCCTCGATCCCCGGTTCGACAACTGCCCCCGGAACGTGTCACCACCGAGTATCTCGAGGTCGACAGTCACACCACTCGTTCTCATCACCACTCGCCTCGCTCGAGCCATGACGCCTTTATCGTCGAAGCCTCACCATCGCGCCGCGAGGATATAGAGTACGAAGAAATCGTCGAGCGACCCCGGCCTCGACCTCGCGCTGTCTCTCGGCCCCGATCCATTTCCGTGCATGGACGCCGTCGGGCGGTGTCTTCAGTACAGTTGGTTGAACCTCGAAGTCACTTCGAGGAACGAATCGACTCTCGACCACACTCTGGTCAGATGATGGTTGTCCGTCCTCGGGATAGTGATTACGAAGTCGACTCATATATTCGTGAGCTAGAAGAAGAAACGAGATTGTTGCGACTCGAGCGCCAGGGTGGTATTGAGATCACGCGACAACGTGAAACTGATACCATTGACAACAGAGGCAATGCGGAGGAGAAGATTGAGGTCAACAAATCTGAGCGTAAAGGTATGTGTCTACCTTCCACTTCCAATCGTAGATGCAGTTCCTTACTGACATATTAATCTAGAACCTAACTCTCGAGTGATGCGCGCTATGTTTGCGACCCTGACATGATACTGCATTTTTGATTTCTCATTTCTCCTTACTTTTTATTTTATTTTCACTTTTACGACTTCGTGTTCCTGCTGGGAGTCCGGCGACGCTTAGGACGAACGGGATGATTATGACGATCTGGATGGATTACTATGCATTTTGCGGCACTTTTCCCTACATGTACTTATTAGCTCATTTTCACCGTTTCTTTGATAGTCCTGCGCCACTTTTCCCTGCGTATGGCGCACCTGCAAGTAAATCTAGAACACATCGCTGCCTGGGAACCTGATGCGTGGCGGTGCGCGGTGGGGCGGTGCAGCGGCAGCGGGTGGCCATCGCACCTTCGTAGCTCCAAATGGTCGACGACGTCCTATCATCCTTCCAGACTCTCCTTTCCCCCTCCAACTCTTCACTCCCTAAAACCGCAATCATGGATCGAGTGCAGGCATTCGGCAAGACCTTCAGGTGAGCACCGCCACTCCCTAATCAGCCTCCACTGAGACACACCCCTCTCCTTACCCAACGAGGCCCCCAATCTCCTATATTCTACACATGATCCTGGGCTGACACTGACTTATCTGTCGTTTTCGCGAACAGTGCGAACTTCACGCCTTTCGCGCAGCGCACCCAGCAGCTTATCAAGGAGCAACTGGGCCAGGCCGAAGACCGAACCCAGCTCCCCGATGAGTACATCGAGCTTGAGAAGCGCGTCGATGCGCTCAAGCTGGTTCACCAGAAGCTGCTCTCCGTGACGTGAGTTTCTTCTCCCTATCCGTGCAAAGAAAGAGCACCCTGCAATGCAAAGCCCGTGCAGGACCTGCGCTGTGTCCTGTCCATCACCCCCTCCAAGAAACTCTCCGCTGACAGGTGTGGGTCGTCCGATCTGCGACAACAGCTCCCAATACTCCAACGAGGCCTACGACTACCCACCCAACATTCGCGAGTCCTTCAATGACCTGGGCCGCACCATCAACGAGAAGGTCACCCTCCTTTCGCAGGCTGGTTCCCCCGCCGAGGCCCAGGCCGCCCTGACCGCACCCCCGTCCGCGAAGCCGCAGCCCAAGACCTTCAACCACGCCATCGCGCGCGCCTCGCTCGCCGGCTCCCAGACTCTGGCACAGAGCACTGAGGGCGAGGACCCGCTCGCTACTGCGCTGGAGAAGTATGCTCTGGCCGAGGAGAAGGTCGGCGAGGCCCGGTTGGGCCAGGATTCTCAGATCCAGTCTCGTTTCCTCGCTGGCTGGAACACTACCCTTAACACCAACTTGATGTTCGCTGCTAAGGCCCGCAAGAATGTCGAGAATGCCCGCCTGACGCTGGACTCTGTTAAGGCTTCTAAGAAGGCTGCTGCCTATGGTGACCTGGACAACTTGAGCGAGGACGCCCGTCAGGAGATCGAGCAGGCTGAGGATGAGTTTGTTGGTCAAACTGAGGAGGCTGTTAGCGTGATGAAGAACGTATGTTGCTTTAGTCTCTTCCCTTACCCATTCCTTTTTTTATAATAGGGAAGATCACTTCGTCGTACCCCTCAATACTAACGTCGACCCCTTACTCCAGGTCCTTGATACCCCCGAACCCCTTCGCAACCTGGCCGATCTGATCGCCGCCCAGCTGGAGTTCCACAAGAAGGCCTACGAAATCCTCAGCGAGCTTGCCCCCCACTGTGGATGCTCTGCAGGTTGAGCAAGAGGTACAAGAGCCCTCTCCACACTCGTCATAAACATAAAGCTTGATGTGTATCTAACTCTTGGTTTCAGGCCAGCTACCGCAAGAGCCGTGAAGGTGCTTAAATGTAGTTCTCTACATCTTTTACGTTCCTATTCTCTCCCCGAGCCGCGGGTTAAGACCGGCTCGTAGCCTTAAACTGTATCTACCCCTTTTTTGCTGTGCTATTGCCCGGGACAACATTGAATTTTTTTTTTCTGCCCCGATATTCGAATCAGTGAGATTATATTGGAAGTGCGAACTATTTTTATTGCCAAAGAATATGGTTGTGTCAGTATCTCGTATCGATAATTGTAAACACTCAACGGAGTGTTTTGTATAGTAAAGTGGAAGCCGAGAGTGACCGCCCTGACACCTCAGGCCACCAGGTCCCGCTAGCTCCAGGAGCTCCGAACATCAACGCCGCTCCAACTGCCAGCTCACCCTCGAAACCGACATTCCACCGGATTCTCGCATTTCGCCGGTGAATATTCATTACGAAGAAGGACAGAGACGGAGTCGCCTCTCCCTCCAGTTTCCCCTGACCACTCATTCAACGCCCCGGGTCGCCGACTCCCGCCCATCTGGCCGCTACTTCCTCTCCGCATCATCACCATCGAGATACGCCTGTGCCTTTTCCGACTTGCGATATCGCTGTTATCCCCCCCCGAGAAACGATCATTAGAAACCTACACCTTTGCCCGATCCACGGACCTACCCCGACTCGTTTTCGCGCAATCATCCTCGAATCCTCACGCCGGCACATCTTCGCGCAGTCCTGAATACCCTCGCTCTGCTCTCTTCCCTTGAAATCGCATCAGGTCTATAAACAAACCTGTGCACATTCATATTGGATCCATTACTTCGAGATCCCGATCACCGCACCCCCAATAATCCGATTTCTTTCCCCGGGTTCCAGAACCTGAACCTGAAACATACACAAAATGGCGACCGGGTATGTTCTTCTTCCTCATACTTGGACGCACGAATTGCCGAGATTCTATTCCTCGGCGTTTATTCTTGCATTACAAGATTTTGAAATCGCTGCAAAGTGAAAACCAGCCAATTGAACTGCGCTCTAACATCATCTATAGCTGGAGTCTTCTCGTCGGCCTTATTGTCGTTGTAGCCGCCTCCGTGGCTGCTTGGTTCTTTGCTCCGAAGAACGAGAGCCGAACGTGAGTTCCTTCAATTACTTCTTATTTTCTTGATACACTCAAGCCTAAACGGACGAACTAACCACTTTTTATAATCATCTAGTGTCTGGCGCAGCACACTCATCCTCTCTTTCATTTCTTGTTACTTGATGTGGGGTACGTCACGCATCCCTTCTCTTCTTTCCTCCTCAAAGTCCCTTCCAACCTCCAGAAAAGAGAAAAAGCATAATCGTGAATGAACAAGAACTAACCGAATTTCCCGCAGCAATTGTCTTCCTCGCCCAATTGAACCCTCTCATTGCGCCAAAGCGCGCCGATATCCGTCCCGGGCATGTACCCAATTAAATTGAACCAAACCAAACCCAGCTAGCTAGAAACATCTAGCTTCCCTTTTTCTGATTTGTTTCATTTGCCTTTAAAGAAATCTCGATATCGAATCGTTCCCCTTTTTCATTTTTGGGCCCCCGGTTGTCTTTTTTTTTTCTGGCTGGCTGTTTTATGTCGCTGTATCATGTACCAAATCCATCATGTTCAAGTCGCAGTTTGAAGGGTATACACATCTTGATATTGAAGTATATTCTCGCTGAAATTTATGCCCAGGTGTCTTTTCTTTTTGTACCTGCCATAAGAGTTTATTTGTGGTTGGGTTACGGTCCATTATTCAGCGATTTGTCTGAGTCGTATGTATTTGGGTCACGGTTGCGGGTGTTTTGTATAGCTCAAGTGAGTATTTCCAAGATTTTACTGAAAAGAATTTCTTATATTACATCTTTGTCTTTGGGCAGTAGCCTATTCTTATCAAGGAATTATTAGTACATACTCATTAAGATCTATCTGCAAAGTCATTACACAACCCCACTCAACTTCAATCCGGTCCATCACAGCCCCCAAAACTAAAATAAAAATAAAGTACCAAAATCTATCCAACACCCACAGCACCAAGAATAACCCTCTGCACTGCCCACCTGGCAATCTGCCCAGCAACAGCAACAGCCACCGCACGCAGATACCCACAACCCAATAGAATATAAAGAGCCTCGATATTACTCAGCAACACGAGATGGGCATCGACAACACCCAGCGAAAGCAACGATGCAAGAACATCGAATAAACTCGTGAGATAACTCGTCGGAACGTAGGGTCGAAGTAGCGACTCTGCGGCCGCGAGGGAAGATTCCAGGAACGAGGCCGAGGGCGATGAAGAGGTTGAGTATGAGGATGTAGAGACTCGGTCCCGGTCTGAGGATAGGGCTGCTTTTGCGGCGCCGAGGTCTTTTCTTCCTATCCCTGCTCCCGCTCCTGTTGCTGGGTTGTGGGTTGTGGCTGTGGTTTCTGAAGGTGTGTTGTTGCCTCGGCCGTCGGCGCCCCAGATTACCAGTAAGATTGGGAAGACTTTTGCGCAGCTGCTTACGAGTAAGGCGGTGCTTATTGCTGTTGGGCTGGCGGCTGTTGGTGGGGGGAGGGGTTGGATCATTTGGGGTGGTGCGGTTGAGGTTCGGCGGAGGGGTGGTGGTGGGCGTTGTTGTTGGATTGTTTGGGTTAGGGGTGATGGGTCTGTTGGAGAGGTGAGGTCCGTGGAGGTTGGATTAGATGACATCTTTGCTGAGGTAGTTGTAGTCGGGCTTAGAAGCTGGGTAGATAGTGTTGGAATGGCCTGCGACGAGGGCGAGGGCCGCATGGTTGGGGTTGGAGGGCCGGAGGGGAAGGGGGTTGTGTCTCCTGTGGTTGTGCCTGATGTAGGCGCGGTGGTGGTAGTGGTGGTGGCGTTGTTATTTGCTTCTGGCCCGCCATAGCGATGGGATTTTGGGACGAGAATTGAAGCTAGTAGGCGGACTGTTAGGTGGTGCGCGAGAGTCGCGACTGCGTTGAGGGTCAGGAAGAAGAGATATTGGACGACGATGGGGGCGCGGGATATGAAGGTCGTGGCGAGGGAGGGGTCTTTCTCCAGGCGGGCCCAGGTGAGATAGACATCGAAGAGGAGAAGGAGGATCCCCAGGCGGATGATTGATCGCTATAACGTCTGCGCATTAGTTTGTTGTCCCGTATGCGGAGGGGGGTAAGTCTGGATATGCGGCTCACATCAAAGCGGTTGTCATCGCGCCCGAGTCTGTTGAAAAGGAGATGGCGGTAAACCTATGGCAGGGAGTATCAGATCGTGATTAATTGTGGACCGCATCAGGGTAGCAACTGACCTGTGGCTTGATGAGCACCAGGTCGATAAAGATCACAACGAAGTCATATTCCACGTATTTGTCGGCGAAGCGCTGGCAGCGAGGACACTGGGTCAATCGCACGCCCTTCCCCTGAGAACGGTCATCGGCACGACTGTATGCGCTATACAGGTGCGAGACCGGGTAGGAACATTCGATGCAGATGGGCATCGTGTCATGACGTGGAGGAGGAAGCTGGGCGATGGGGAAATTGCTTAGCTGCGAGGGCGGAGTGCGGGACGCGTTCTAGACTCGGCCCACTCGATACTACAGCCCACAGTCTACACTGCACCAATGCCATTATTTTATTACATATTGAATAAAAGATTGTTATGCTCTTGATTAGTTGAAGTATTGACTAGTATTCACAATCTGACCTATACTCACATTCCCAACCACCCCCGAGGGCTACTATACACAATGGGATATCAACCGTCTTTCCTTGCGCCTAATCAATAACGCTTTTATTATCAGCCCAACTAGGCTGAATAGCCCGACACACAGCCTCATAGTCCTGGAACCGCTGCGTATCCTCCGGCAAACCAGGTGTAGTCCAAAACATCGTCCAATTGCTATCAGCCAGCTTCCAAGAGCCGCAAGACCGCTCAAAATACCACTTGTTCACGGGATTATCCTTGCGACTACGCCAGCAGACCCCATTGGGGAAACATGTACGCACCATTGCGTTGAACACGACATCTGCCACGCCGCCGGCACCTTGGCTGCGCTTGAGTACTGCGAATTTGTCTAGGTAGGGGACCATGCGTGCGGCGTTCTCGGGACTGCCGTCGTCGATCACGCCGGGTGGTGTTTCCCACGTTAGGATTGCGCCGCCTTCGTACTCGCCTGCAACGATGATGCCGGCGATACGATCGTTCACGCGTTTTAGATAATCGTGTACATCGAGCTTGCGGTCGAAGGAATCTTCAATGAGTTCGACGAGTCGGGGGAGGTCGATTGATGGGTCGTTTAATTGCAGGCGTGGTTGACTCTGGGCAGTCCAAATGTGGGTATATGGATTGGGGAGAAGGGTGAGGGGCATTCCTCTTTTCACGAAAGTGGTATGAGGTGGCAGTGGACTGATAGCACTGGGCCGGCTGGATCCAGCAGCGCGGCGCCCCGGTGGAAGTGAGGACGATAGAAGAGGTTTATCGGTGAGGAGGTTGTGGATGAGAGGATTGCGCTGGCGTCGAGTTCCAACAGCCGACACATTCGATGAAGCAGCCTGAGGGGATCGACCAGAGTTGGCGACTTCTTGCGGAGATGCAATGATGCCAGAGGAGGCGGAGGGTAGCATTGCCAGCGTTTGTTGAGAGAGACGGAGGTTCTCCAAATGACCATCCAGAACAACTGCCATCGCCTCCGCACCGGGGAGATGGTTCGATTGCCCTGGGAGAGGCGAGATAACCTCCTCATTCACGAATTTTGAGAATGGGTTGCTGTCTAGTAAAGCAGATGCAGGTCCTGTGTCCTTGTGGGGCGAGGGCAGCTTCGCGTTTCCGACGATCGATTCTCGTGTCTCAGACAATTCCTCTTCAATTTCATCAAATTCTTGCTCCATGTTGATGAAGACATGTGATGATTGAGGTCCCCTGAAGGCTGGAATGCCTCCGAGAGGGTGTAGAAGAATCACTCGATCCAGTGAGACTTCCTTTTGTAGGGCATCGATTCGTTCCGCAGTGACAGCAGGGTCTTCGTCTGGATCAGGAACCGTGGACAACCCCGCGAATTCCTTGGTCAGCGCAAGCACTGCATCGTTTGCAGATACCGGGACGGCTCGAGGATTCTCCTCCAAATACGCAACTGGTGTTACAATAACGACATGGCCATCACGGAGCGGGCTCAAAAGGGCCTTCCGGGACATGACACTAGGAAGCCCCGGACCCTTCTCGGAGAGCGAAAGTGCCGAGTCCAGACGGAATGATTTAGAGTCAGGTTGTTCATCAACCGCCGCTGAAATCCGATTAGCCTGGTCAATTGCGAGTTGTCGCATGGCTGGGTCGTCCATCTTTCCTGGGTCAACTACTACAAGACATCCCATACCCAAGCGTATGAGCTGAGACAGAGTCCGAGCGACACCAGTTACCACCTCATCGTTGAGAGACTGGGGGTTTGTGATCTTGATCAAGGCTAAATGAAGCCTCTCGGCTGGCTCTTGACTTCGTGGAGCAGGGGTAGTGTTTTGCCGGAAAACCGGGCTGTCGTAGACGGCTCTCGAAGCACCGTAGAATGATCCCAGATTGACGCCGGAGGACAAGGACTCCGATGGGTTCTCCTTAGCCACTTCCTGCTCATTTGCGGGTTGGGCGGTTGACTTGGGATGGTTCTTCTTGAAGCGAGACAAGTACGACTTAGCCTCGCGCTTGGTTGAAGCAGAGCTCAGTAGACTGAGGAAGAATTCCTGTGTAATTTAAATCAGCCATTAGCTCTATATGCTGAGGATGCGTCATCGTCGAGCTACACACCCGATCTAGGAGCTTCTCTTTAGCTCGGTGCCCTAGCCGATCGTTACTGGGACTGGTGTTGGAGAATTCGGCAATCTGCTGGGTCCTTGGGAGCGACTGCACTGGACGCACTGCTGCGGGGTCGTTAGAACGCACGACATGTTGCTGGAGCGAATATGATCAGCTTCGGGGAAATGGAAGTATTTGGAGATGACCTTAGCACTCACGTTAGCTCGGGCGGCCTGGGCAGTGCGAGACAAGTTAAGGACCCGTGAGCTCATCTTTCGAACCACCAGAGACCTGACTGGTGTGTACGATGGAGAAACGCAGCAGTCTCGTAAAAATAGGGAGTAGAGGACCAGCTCAATTATCCAAAGCAAAAGAAAAAAAAGAAAGGCAAGTAAATTGACCGGGGCATGACGCATCCTCGGCTGGGCTTCACCGCCTGGGGATCCCAACTAAATTTCCTATCAACAGCCCCCCCCCGTTATTTTCCGTCTTAGCTGCGCGAATTATCAGATCAACCTGGGATCGAATATTCTCGGTGCTGCCATAACATTGGCTGCGACAATCCACTCATGGAGATTGTCTGACATCCACCTAGCGGGGCAGCTTTACGAGTACTAATAGTACATATGTCGGTCTGCAGACTCGGGATCCCTGTCGCCGGGACTTGGCGGGGCTTGACCTCGATGGAGCTAGCCAGTTTACTAATATGTACTATATAATACTATATAGTTCTTACTCTTGCCTATATTCCAAGGTTTGCTTGTCACACGTATCTACAAAAATTCAGAACTTGGATACTCTCTTACTACTATTATGAAAGTTCTTGCCTTTAGCTCAATTTCTCACTTATACACTATTTTTTTTTGATCTATACTAGTCGTATAAATCTAGTCACTCCCTTCAAGTTTGGCTCCATTTATTCCTCCGAGTCTGTTAACCATCATTTTCCTAGCAATGTGTACTATGCCTTTGAAGCTCCTGCGATGACTATCCCCGTGTGTATACTGCACGATGGCAGCCTGATAGTCTCGGAGGACGGACTCGGATCCGGAGATCTCTAGTTTGAGACCGAATGACGGACACGGATATCTCCAGCCTGAGTCACCTGGAGATGGTCTCGGACTCGGGGATCTCTAGCCTTCGGAAATCACGGACGGACTCGTCATTTCGACAACCGATTGATCCGTTTGGCCCTCCCTACCTTCACCTTCTCCCTCCTTCTCTTCTTCTCTTCCTCTCTCCCTCTCTTTCTCTCTCTCCTCACCACCATCTTTTCCCACAATCCTTCTCCAGAACTAGCAAGGTATGTCGTCTCCCTTTGGATCACTGAATCATTCATGCTCATTAACTGACGGTTTGATTTTCGAAGCTCAAACACACAAACATCGTTCCTACAAGGTATGCATGTGAGAGAAGATTCACACCACAGAAACCCGGACCAGCTGCAGCCACTGTGATATGAATGACCTACTAACAACTGACAGAATACCTCACTGGTTCAAGATGAAGTTTATCTTCACTCTTGTTTCCGTCCTGGTCCTTCTAGCCATGATGGCTGAAGGACGCAGCCTCTACCAGGGCTCACCCGCTGCCGTTCATGATGAACAGTCTCTCAACGATCTGGCCAAGGACAACTCTGGCACGATTCTCTACGCGAACAATGTCGCTCGAGCCACGGTGACTGAAGGGCTTACCCGCTACCACACCGCGCCCCCAAGCGATGCCGTTATCTTTCACGATGAGCAGTCCCTCAGTGACTTGATCAAGGTCAACCCTGACACACTTCTCCACCCTGAGAACGGAGGATACTACCTCAAGAACATGGAAGAAGCCGTCATTGGCGTCGCCGCCGATGGCCTCTGTGATTACCTTGGTGCATCTTTTGCGTTCTTCAATGATGATGCTGGGGCAAATGTTATGGAGGAGCCTGAGTGTTTGCATGAAAAAGGTACGAGAAAGTGTCCTGCTCCTGTCCCTCAGTGTCCCGGGGCTGGCATGAGAAAATGCAGTCCTAAGGGCTGTTGTCCTATCTCTCTCGCAAACGGCTGTTTCGGTTCCCACTGCTCTAGTTCTGGGGATTGCCAGCACCGAGGTTGTGTTACATGCACTCACACGAAGTTTTGTCTTATCTAGATTGTGATGGCGGTGCTGCCCTCTTGGCAAGCTGCTACGTTACCCGTTGCAACGATTCCGGAGACTGCCATAATAAAGGTTGTCATGTGTGTGCCCGCCACCATCTTTGCCTCATCTAGACGTGATGGCGCTTTGATTTGAGATGACGAAGCCAAAGGTCTGATCAGCCTTTGACTTTGACTTCTTACAATTTCCTGTTACTTTTCATTCTAATGACTTTTCATTCTTGTGACTTTTCATTCTTGTGACTTTTCATTCTTATAACTTTTCATTCTTATGACTTTTCATTCTCATTACTTTTCTATTCCTGTTACTTTTCATTCTTATGACTTTTCTATTCCTGTTACTTTTCATTCTTATGACTTTCATTCTTATGACTTTTCATCCTTATGACTTTTCCTCCTCATGACTTTTCATTTCCTGTTACTTTCATAATTCGATTCAATCTTCGAAGGTACTACCTAGTACCTGACTTCTAATTTCTATTCATCAGCAGTAGCATGCCGGTAGTATGGTAGTACTAGTATGGTACAATGCTGACCGCTTTGGTGGTACTGGGGAGTACTTTCCACGATAGGGCGATCCCGCTACGATGGCAGTACCGATAGGTTCCAAAGGTTCCCCCACCCCCCGCCACCTTCCCTGCCCATCTTCTTCTTCTGCTTCCTGTAATCCTCCGTTTGAACAACTACTATACTGTCTCCTTCCACTTGAGGTTTGTCTTTCCTCCTTTGCTCTCCCTTTCCTCCCTTTGCTTTTGGTCCCGTCTTGCCCTGCCCTTCATTTCCCTCTCCCTGCCCTTCCGACACCCCCTCCTTGCTCCCACACTGGACCGCCTGCGTCGCAAATTCTTATCTGCAGCCACCAATCGCAGCTGCAGTGAATGATGACCTCAGTCATAGCACTGAAGGCGGCGTGAGGCTCGAGGCTCGAGGCTTGACTTCCCATTTCTTTGGCCAGCTTTGTCCACCTTTTGTCACCTGCATACTCCGTACTAAATCCCCACCGGTCCAGATTTGCATCCCTCGATCCCCCCACCAATACCACCCACTACTTAACCAGGACCCCTGCAAAACCGACCCTGGACGTGCGTTGCTATCCACACGCGATCACCTTCCCAACCTTCAATTAACACCTCGTCGACTCCAGTTTATAACGCCATTTTTCCCTCTTCACCATGTCCGATCCCAGCGACCGATCTTCGGAGTCCATGCCCGGCCCCGAAACCTCTGGTCTGAAGCCCTTGTCCAACATCGAGGATATGGCCCTGCCGAACCCCAGCAATAGCGACCTGTCTCGCTTCATGAGCCGCGCCGGTATTTCTCTGTCCAATGGCTTCCCCCTGGAGGACGACGATGAGATCGACGAGGAAGTGGATGAGGACTACGTCGCTGTCGACCAGGATGATGCCAATGACTACCCTGTTTGGTTCCGCCGTCCCCGACCCATCACCGCACCAAGCTCGATGAATTGCACCCCTTCGTTCAGCTACTCTCCGCGTCTAATGTCGAAGACTGCGTCGCGGTGGAGCAGGCGTTCCCCGAGAACGAGCGCTGCTCGCGTGACAAAGTAAGTACTCTTCTGATGTCAATCTCTTCTCCGACAGTTCGGTTGAATCACTGGATGATTCCATCAGACCAAGTGGAAGATGGTCAATGATCTGCAAGAGTGCGCCGTGGCTAACCTGGTTTCTGCTGAGTAGTTCATCTATCGTCTGAGCCGTTGTCCCGAACTTAGCCTGGGAATGTTCACTCTCCCCATCATCAAGGCTGGTGACCCCAAGCCGCCGGCGACACTGATCGGCCACATCATTGCCACCCGTACCTCGGCGCCCTGTGTCACCGACCGCTCCATGAAACTTCCTTCCAAGTGGGAAGGCGAGCGTTGGACTTTTGAGGATGGAGAGGCTGTTGGTCACGAGGAGGGTGGCGGTACCATCGCCATTCACTCTTTGGCCGTACTGGAAGAGCACCAGGGCAAGCAAGTCGGCAGCACCCTGATGAAGTCGTATATCCACCGTATTCGGGAAGCTCAGATTGCCGACCGGATCGCGATCATCGCCCATGACCATCTGGTGGATTTCTATAAGTCATTTGGCTTCGAGGACCATGGCGAGAGCAAGTGCCAATTTGGCGGCGGTGGTTGGAGAGATCTGGTAAGTTGATTCGAGGTTCATTGACGATTGATGACATATTCTGACTCGCGATGTTATAGATCTTGGAGCTTCCTCAAGAGCCGCTGCAGAACTAAGAACGAGAATTGATTCTACGGGTTTCTTTTGTTCGCATGCATCTTTTCGGCGTGGACCGTGTAAGATCAGGTTCGGTCTGCTGGTACTCCTTTTTGTCCGATTTCTTATTTTCAAGTTATTTTCCTATTTTATCTCTCATGTCCCCCTCAACGCAGTTCATGTCCGGTCATCGGTTTTGGTCTTCGGGCTCGAAAGAAAACGGAGTTTGTTTCTTTTTTGTTTCAGTTTTATTTCCCCCGTTTTTATCTCTTATTTCTTTTCTTTTTTTTTTACTGGGATGGGATTGTGATGGCCAGTCTTACGAGTCTCATGGAACAAGGGTTTGTGCTGGTCAGGTCGGCCAGGGTTTGTGTACCATATTCGGAATGCAATGTACATGGGCACCACCTTCCCTTGAAATATAAAGAATAAAACCTATAATTTTCGAAAGGGCGTGCATGATATAAGAGATGGATGCTACTAGTAGTACCTAGTAGGTATGTAGTACTAGCAGGATGTAATAATCTTCACGTAGATATAGCATGCCCAGGTGGCCCATATCTAAGCCTGACTGCCACCAACTTGAACCCTTACTTCTACCAATCAATCTGCCCACTGTACCATTCCCATAGCTACCAATATATAGAATCTGTCTAAACTCCCCCTCAATCGACCAACCAGACCGAAAATACCAAAAATACTAAAAGTGAAGAATCAACACTCGGTTAATCGCCACATCCAATCCCGACCCCCGCATTAGTTCACCGCCCGGCAGAAATGTCCGACAAACAATTTTTTCGTCGGGGAAATCAAATGAGCGGACCCCCCAACAACCTCCCACTCCAGAGTCAGTCCATTCCTTGCTTGACTCCTGTGGCCCATCATGAAGACTACTTGGAAGGATGTAAGTTACTCTCTTCTATCCACTATCCAGATATCTCCCCCGGTTCCCTCGAGAATATCCAACTGATCTTTTTGACCGCCAGATTGTGCCGGTGCCCACCAACCAGGAATTCCTGGACATCGTCCTCAGTCGTACCCAGCGCCAGCTTCCCACGCAAATTCGTGCTGGTTTCAATATCAGCCGTATCAGAGGTACTTTACTCTCATCGTTTATTCAAATCCGACTTCCATGGAGACCGAACGACAAAAAAAAGACGCTTCGGGCGATCGGTTTATCGATAAAGGGTTTATCGCTAATCAAATTTTCTTATGGCAGGTTTCTACACCCGTAAGGTCAAGTACACCCAGGAGACCTTCTGTGAGAAGTTCCAGGCTATCCTCGATGGATTCCCTCGTCTCCAGGACATTCATCCCTTCCGTAAGTTCTTTTCGCAATTTTGCTCGCTCGAGTGAGGGCTAATCGCCCCCCAGACAAGGATTTGATGAACACGCTCTATGATGCCGACCACTTCCGCATTGCTCTCGGTCAGATTTCGACCGCCAAGCACCTGATCGAAACTGTTTCCCGTGATTACGTCCGTCTTATCAAGTATGCGCAATCGCTGTTCCAGTGTAAGCAGCTGAAGCGTGCTGCGCTCGGTCGCATGGCCACCATCTGCCGTCGCCTGAGGGATCCCCTTGTCTACTTGGAGCAGGTCCGCCAGCATTTGGGTCGTCTCCCTGCGATTGACCCTAACACCCGCACTCTGCTGATTTGCGGTTACCCCAATGTCGGCAAGTCCAGTTTCTTGCAAAACATCACCCGCGCCGATGTCGATGTCCAGCCCTACGCTTTCACCACCAAGTCGCTATTCGTCGGTCATTTCGACTACAAGTACCTGCGTTTCCAGGCTATTGATACCCCCGGTATTCTCGACCACCCTCTGGAGGAGATGAATACCATTGAAATGCAGTCGATCACCGCCGTTGCTCACTTGCGCTCTGCTATCCTCTACTTCATGGATCTTTCCGAGCAGTGCGGTTACTCCGTCGCCGATCAGATCAAGCTCTACCACAGCATCAAGCCTCTGTTTGCCAACAAGATTGTGTTCATTGTCATTAACAAGGTTGATGTTCGCCGCCCCGAGGATCTGGATGCCGAGGAGCAAGAGCAACTGCAGAACATCCTCAAGGCGGACGATGTCGAGCTTCTGCAGGCTTCTTGCACCACCACCGAGGGTGTGAGTGCCGTTAAGAATGCTGCTTGCGACAAGCTGCTCGCTGAGCGAGTAGCCCAGAAGCTCAAGACCGGCTCCAACAGCGCCGCCGAAACCCCTGGTGGCCGTCTGGGCGATGTGCTGGCCCGTATCCACGTTGCTAAGCCCATGGGCGGCGTCACCCGGGAGACCTTCATCCCCGAGGCCGTCAAGAACCTCAAGAAATACGACAAGAACGACCCCAACCGCCGGACATTGGAGCGCGATCTGGAGGAGGAGCAAGGTGGTGCCGGTGTCTACAGCTTCGATATGCAGCGCGACTACACCCTGGCCAACCCCGAGTGGAACCATGACAAGATTCCCGAGGTGTGGAACGGAAAGAACATCTACGACTTCGTGGACCCAGATATCGAGACAAAACTGGCTGCTCTGGAGGAGGAAGAAGAGAAGATGCAGGCCGACGGCTACTACGACTCGGACGAGAGCGTCGAAGAGGCCGAGGATGCCGACAACCGTATGAAGGCCAACCTGATCCGCGAGAAGCGCGTCCTTATGAAGAACGACGCCAAGATGCGCAAGTCGCTCAAGAACCGCGCCCTCATCCCCCGCAGCGCCAAGGCCAAGAGGCTGTCCCAGATGGAGCGTGCGCTCGACTCCGCTGGTTACGATGTGGATGCCGCTGGCGACCGCGCCCGTTCCCAGAGCCAGTCTCGTGGCCGGACCTTGACTCGCGGTGATGATCACGATGATGATGCTATGGACATTGACGACCCCCACAAGGCCATTGCTCGCGCTAAGAGCCGCGCTCGCAGCCAGCCTGCTACTGACAGACGTCATGACGGTGTTACTTCAGCTACTAACAAGGAGAAGGCTGAGCGCATGTTCAAGCTGGGCCAGAAGCAGATGAACCGCATGGCTCGTGCTGGTGAGGCCGATCGTCACACCACCGCCGCTCTGCCCAAGCACTTGGTATGCTTCCTAATCCTTCCCACTTCTTTTTTATCCCATGATACATTTTCTAACGCAATTCAAAACAGTTCGCCGGAAAGCGCGGTATGGGCAAGACCCAGCGCCGTTAAGGGCCCCAGCCCCACTGCTACTGCTACGGGCGACGAATCAAGACTCATTCTTAATCATCGTCAAATTGGTTTCCATACCGGGTGCACAATGGTGTCGGGCGTTTGCGTTTTGTTTTTGATTTTGTCTCTCGTGTCATTATTCCCATTTTGACTCGGTTATTCTATACCCCCACGTTTCTGGGTGGGGGGTGTGTGTCTTTTTTCTGTGAATAGACAGTCGTCGTATGATCTGCGAGGGGAGCCTGTTTTCCAAGGTCCGCTCATTCAATAGGACCAAAAGTTCTTGACTTAATGATGTTGTATGTGTGCGGAAGCCAAGAAGTCGTAGTAGACGAATGAGTAAAAGCAGTAGTCATTTGGTGGCCGGCACTTGCATGGACCCCTACAGCCGTCCCGGTTGTTGGCAAGCACGTCCGCATAATATTCGAGCTCAGCCTCGACAAGAAGCTTCGTATGGCTCAGATTCGGGACGAGATCAAACTTGAAGTCCACTCCACGAGTTGCATCGTAGGAAACTCGCCGTCCGAAGACGCTCCACCTGGGCATACATCGCATTAAGAAACCCGCGAATCACTTTTCCGTCTTCAGTCCGTGACTCAACGATGCCATTTTTGCTGTCAAATTGCAATTAGTATATAATTGGAGGATTGGTACTGGCCAGATCTGCAGTGTCAATCTACCCTGCAGACGGGGAAAATACGAGATCGTGAATAGAATGAGGTGATTTATGAAAGTCGGATGATAAAGAGCGCAGTGTGGTGCTATGAAGGAGCCCCTTTATCCGTGAAAATTAGTAGGACTTTAAAGTTTCTTACGCATCAAAATCAAGACCGGAGTCTGCTTGCCAGTAATGGCCACCGAGAATAATGGGTCATTGACGATGTTGATCTTTTCGATGTTATGGCCGGCCGCAACAGACATACTGACAGGAGACTGGGGCTTGGGAAACATGTTCATATTCGGCGGACGTAATGGATAGATACAAATTGGAGATAGCATGCTATTATACTTACCAATGCCAACGGAATAGCTGACGCGAGACCGAGGTTGTGGTTCAGGAGTTATATCAACGATGAATAATCGTACCATTCTGCCAGGAAATGTCTACTATATCACTAACATTCATCATGAATCCATTTTAGTAGAGGATCGTGAAACATCTCCTAGTCAGACTTTGAAATTCCGCTATTTCGACCATTCCGCACTATACTATAAGTCATAGCTTTACTTGCCTTCTTCTCCGCCTCGCGTGGGCTACGAGATATGATTCAGCTCGACGAGAGAAAAAGTGGAGCATAAGATGGCCTTATTTTTCATTTTTGTGGACCTGTTATCTTTCCAATTTTGGATCTTTCTTCCTAAGGCGTCATTTGCTTTGGGGTGTTGGTCAATGCCTTCATCTTCGATCGTCAGGGTCCGGATGTCTCTGCGGGGTCTTCCCCAGGGTTGTTGCTTTCTTCAACGGGGTTCCGATTCAGCATGATGATGGAGAAAATGTGGACCCTCAGTGAGAAAGTTGAAAAAAGTACGGGTGGATGCAAGCAGAGTCCTGTTCAAAGGTGGTTTGCATGTATGCCCATCCTGCTCCGGCATCCAACCTGTGACTCGGAGTTCGTAGTATGCTCTCTCGGTAGCAGAGGGTCCCTCTATTCATCTTCTATTGTATATACATACCCAAAGTTTGGATAAAGGAAATTAAATCAACTTGAAGCTCTACCGTGGTTTCGATTGAATACTTCCGGTTTACGAGACAGCGGGAAAAGAATACTACCTGGCATGTAAAAAGCATGACCGAATCCAGGCCGCATGAGAAATAATCCAAGCTCCTTTGTATTGGCGACGTAGTACAAATATTCATCTTGGCCAGCTGTCCCGGAAATGATGACAACTAGGAGAGTCTCGTAGTAATGTTTGAGTCGGCATTCTGGGCCTGAGGACAGAGACACAAGGTGCCACCTTGCACCTACATTAGTCCCATGCACATGTCGTGCGACATGAAACCCGGGTCCAGGACAAGGGCCAGGCCTTGATTTCGACACGGAATGACCATGGAATGATGTGCCGCGACGTACGGAGTAGCAGGAGTACAAGCATCGGCTGGTCCGAGTATTTAGAATGGCTTTCTGTGTTGACTACTGGGATTTACGTATGTACGATTTGGATCCTGTGGGTCCAACGCCTGGATTTACGGTTTTGGAAATGAGGATGAGATCATTAAGCCTGTCTGCGAAGATATTATCCCGAGAATTGACCGCGGTGCATTGTGCTTCCGTCCACTGGACTCCCTGCTGGTGAAATTGTGTTTCATATTGGAAAGAGAAGGAGATTCTGGGACGGGAAAGCATTTAGAAGATACTAGCTGACGTAGGAAGATTCTACTTGGCTTTCATTATGTCAACTCTTAATGGTGAATGCCTACATATCTATTTTGAATAGTGTTCCACTCATGAATCGAGTTATGCATATGAGCAACTGGTCACCCAGAAGCTTTGACTGATGACCACGAAAACCTTGGGACATATGTATGACTGCCGGTACTTCGTACGGAGAACAGAGAGTCACATCGCCGCTTCATGGCACCTACGAGTACTCGTATGGAATGATCTTGCCTAGAATAGGTAGGCGCAGAGAAAAAGAAAAAGCCGAAAATAACCCAAGAGATAAGAAAGACCTCGCTTGTGAGCCTTCATTGGATAGTGACGACATTCAGCCTTGGTGGATACTTCGCACCGCATGAGTTAGGAAGGCGTGTTGGCATTGGTGGGCCTAGATGGCCCCTTTTCGAAAAATTTGAGCTATTTTTCGCCTGCCAAACTCGGTGGTCTGGCTCTTTTAGCGTGTGAAAATTTCCTAGCCAGTTCACCGCAGATCACGGAAGGGGCGTGGGCCAAGTGGGGCTCGACGAGAAAGGATTGTGTGGTTCCGTCGAGCCTCTCGCGCATCCTCTGAAGATCCCGTGTTTCGGGATGCCGAGTGGAAATTTTCGCAAAGTGCGTTTTTGGCAGCCATCTACTCCGGAACGAGGGTAAAAATTATTGTAGATGAATTATAGATTGATTATAATCCCAGAAATGCATGCATTCGATATTCTACATTGCTATTCTAGCTGCAGGACCCCTGTCGCAAGCCGAAAACAGTGCAGCATCGATCCCGAGTCGGCTCGGCGTCGGCGTGCAAACTGGACTCGGTGTGCCGATTTGGGCCAGGTGGGCCCGGCGAATGGCTCAACAGATCGGAAATCTCTGCGCGGTCGTCGACCGAAGGCTCACCGGCGGTGGGTCTAGCTTAACTTGAGCTCGAACCACGCCGACCGGTGCACCTATTCAGCGATTTCTTATCAGGACAGTTTTCAAAGCGCAGTTTGAGACCTGGATGGAGATGGTATAAGAACGGGGCTCTAGCCCAGTCTAAACTCTGAATGTCCGCGTGACATTTTGATAGATTTTCTTTTGTCGCGTAGATGTAAATGGATTATCAAGTCCATCGTAAGACCTCCCGGATTAAGCCAAGCTTTGTTCCGTGGCGATCGTCATAGTCTGAGACCGGCTCGGGCGACGGCCTGTTTTGCAGAAGAATCCACGGCGCCCCACTCGCCAAAGTAAATGGAAATTTTCTGTCGTGAGCTCCTGTTCCAACGTTTGCTTGTCGCAGGTAAACAGGAAGTTAAAAGGGGAAAAAAAAAGTCAATACAGAAGAAATCAAGGAGATGATTACATGATGACGAGCTCTTTTGATTTTTCACGGTAGGTATACCAGCATCATTGCATGTATACTATGTGTACTCGTAGCTGAGCTGCCAGTAACCACGGACTGTATCCGTGAGCAACCAGGCACTGCATTCTCATTCGTTCGGCACAGACCCAGCCATTACTCAATCACGCAGTTTTCTAGAAAGTGGCAAGAAGCTCGGCAATGTTTTCGTCTACATACCAACGATCGTGGTTCGGAATTCCTCGTGTGATTGCATGGCATGCTTGCTGAGACAATGTCTTTAGAGATCATAAGAAAAATAAACAGAAGATAAATAAACAAACGATAAACAAAAGATAAACAGTACGAATTCCATAGTTCTTGTAGAACTGACAGTTGTTTACTAGTATGCCTATACTTAGTGGTAACTAAGACACAAACGGGCCTCACGTGGACAGACCGCATTCGGGTCTCATCTCCAGAGACTCTTCAAATGCCATTCTCCACCCTCTTCTCCACCCCAAGAACCCTCCCCTCTGTATGGAGTATGTGCCCATGGAGACGAAATTTCCCTCCCGCCCCATCCCGACAAACGTGGGACGCGAGATCCGGGCCCCCGTTTTGACTGCCATGGTACCCCAAGGGGGAGTCCGATTCTCCGCTAACCATGTCTCATGCTATTTATTTGCTCCCTTCCCCTGCCTAGCCCGCAGTCTTTTTTTTTCTTTCTTCATCCCTCTCTTCCATTTACCCTCCGGCTTTCACCACTCCCGGTTAGGTAACTTGCATCATGGGTGTCGGCAACATCATGGCCCGCTTCAAGGGTGGTGAGGACTCTCAGTTCTCCTCCCAGGCCCCTACACCTGCTCGCGCTGATTCGACTATCGCCGAGAAGGATGAGGGCATCATCGATGATAGCCCCGTCAAGTACCTCACTTGGCGCTCTTTCATCCTCGGCCTGTGTGTCTCCATGGGTGGCTTCATCTTTGGTTACTCTACTGGTATGTTTCACTACATAGTGGCGGGAGGGAAACGCAGCCCATGGATGAATCATGACGTTAACTCGATGACCAGGTCAAATCTCGGGTTTCACTTCCATGACCGACTTCAAGGAGCGCTTCGCGGAGTACAACGAATCTTCCGGTGAATACGTCTTCAGCAATGTTCGCAACGGTCTTATTGTTGGTCTGGTAAGTACGCACTGGCCATCGCCATCGTCACCTCCACCTCCACAAACAACACAAAAAATGGACCAGGACTGACTATCTGACAGCTCTCAATCGGTACTATGATTGGCGCCCTGGTGGCTGCCCCCATTGCCGACAGAATTGGCCGCAAGCTCTCCATCTCCTTCTGGGCTGTTATCAACATCGTCGGAATCATTGTGCAGATCACCACTCAGGATAAGTGGTACCAGGTCGCCCTTGGCCGTTGGGTCATGGGTCTTGGTGTCGGTGCCCTGTCCAGCGTTGTCCCCATGTACCAGTCCGAGTCTGCTCCCCGTCAGGTTCGTGGTGCCATGGTCAGTGCCTTCCAGCTGTTCGTCGCCTTCGGTATCTTCATCTCCTACATTGTCAACTACGGTACCGTCCACATCAACTCCAGTGCCTCATGGCGCATCACCATGGGCATTGGTTTCGCCTGGCCCCTGATCCTGGGTATCGGTACCCTGTTCCTTCCCGAGTCCCCCCCGTTACGCCTACCGTCACGGCCGTGTTGAGGAGGCCCGCGAGGTCATGGCCAAGCTCTACGGTGTTCCTACCAACCACCGCGTTGTTGCCCAGGAGATGGCCGACATGAAGCACAAGCTGGATGAGGAGAAGAACGCTGGAAATGCTGCCTGGCACGAGATCCTCACCGGTCCTCGCATGTTCTACCGTACCATGCTTGGTATTGCTCTGCAGTCTCTGCAGCAATTGACCGGTGCCAACTTCATCTTCTACTACGGAACCAGCATCTTCCAGGGTGTTGGTCTGAGTGACTCCTTCGTTACCCAGATCATCCTGGGTGCCGTCAACTTCGGTATGACCATGCCCGGTCTGTACGTTGTCGAGCACTATGGTCGCCGTAACTGCCTCATGGTCGGTGCTGCCTGGATGTTCATCTGCTTCATGATCTGGGCTTCCGTCGGTCACGAGGTTCTGCACGTCAACCCTTCGTCCCACCCTGCCGGTGTTGCCATGATTGTCTTCACCTGCTTCTTCATCGTTGGTTTCGCCACCACCTGGGGTCCCATTGTCTGGGCCATCTGTGGTGAGATGTACCCCTTCCGTTACCGTGCTACCTGCATGGGTGTCGCCACTGCCGCCAACTGGACCTGGAACTTCCTCATCTCTTTCTTCACCCCCTTCATCTCCAGCTCCATTGACTTCCGCTACGGCTACGTCTTCGCCGCTTGCTGTTTCGCTGCCATCCTGGTTGTCTTCTTCTTCGTCAACGAGACCCAGGGCCGTACCCTTGAGGAGGTCGACACTATGTACGTCCTGCACGTCAAGCCCTGGAAGTCCGCCAGCTGGGTTGCCCCCGAGGGCATCGTTGCCGACCTCCACGCTCCCCGCGAGCCCAAGGAGGGTGCTAGCGAGCAACAGCAGCACGAGACTCTGATCGCTGAGCCTACTGAGGTTGTCGAGTCTTCTCAGCCTACCCAGAATGCTGAGACCACTGAGACCCGCGAGTAAATTTCTGGCTTGAAACAAAACAACTTCGATACAATACCCATCAACGGGCCAATAATGGCTTTATGTACTTTTTAGTGATATGATTTCCGTGTTAATATTTGAAAACTCGGCCCTTGCTACAAACTCCTCAATTGGAGACAAGAATTGAATAATGGCATTTCCAATCCATACCTACCTACTATGATCTAAATTTCCTTTAATATGTTGTAACTATCCTTCGAAGACAGGTCGTATTAATCTTACTTCCATTCCAAGGTCAAGTCTTATAGGACCGACTGCCCGGGAGAGAATTTCCAGTCTCGACTACCACTATACAGAAGCAACCTTAGAACTTGAAGCTCAATTTTGGAAGAAACATCACATCATATTCAAAATAACACCTTTCTTTATCTGCATGGTTTAGTTATACTATACGTTCAATTACTTATTTTCCTGATTCTCAAACTTCATTCCCGCAGCCTTCCTAGCCGCACCATAAACACCCGCAATATCCCCCTTCTCCCCCTTCTCCGTCTTAACATCCTGCAAGAACGAATCGGTAACCTCAACATTCCGCATCCGCTGACCACCCTCCTTTGCCAGACTAGACGCATGACGAAGATCCTTCCGAGCAAGATCAACGGCAAACAAAGGCTCATCCCGCTGATAATAATCACCACTAATCATCCGATCCGCATACTTAGCAAAAGGACCGGGTGCAAACAGATCCAACCACTGCTTCAGCGGACCAACGCCCAGTCCTGTAGATTCAGCCGCAACAACCGTCTCCGCCAGCACCCCAACGGTATTCAGGATAAATGTGTTGCCTAGAACTTTCAGCGTGGACGCCTTGCCAACGTCGATGTCGTCGCCTGTTCCGTCGGACAGATCGATGGTCGATTTGGCAGTGACCCCCTCGAAGAATGGCTTCGCTTTAACAATAGCGGACTGTTTACCGGCTGGTACGACGATCAATTGTCCCGCATCGGCCATGTTCGGTGCACCGAAGACCGGGTATGCGACAAAGGATGCGCCCCGCGCGGCGTAGGCGGCTTCTGTGCGTCGTGAGGTGTCCGGGTGGACGGTTGAGCAGTCGACGAAGGTCTTGGTGGACAGGTCGACGGTTTTATCAGCTAGGATGGTGTTGGTGATTGCGTCGATGGCGGGGTCATCGCCGACGCAGGTGAAGATCACATCGGCATTCTGCACAGCTTCTGAGAGCGACGTAGCGACGGTTGCGCGGCCGTTGAGGGTTTCGGCATGGGCACTTGCGCGAGCTGTGGTGCGGTTGAAGAGGATGAGACTGGATTGAGGACCCTTTTGGGCGATGTTGGTGCTCATGCCCTGTTGTTCATATCATTGTTGGTTAGTCTCGGCCGGTGGGAAGAGGGAGGTTGTGTAATTCAGGTAGTCTTACCCGGCCAATGTTGCCGAGGCCAATCCATGCGACGCGAATTCCGGACATTTCCGTGCAATTGGGTGATTACAGTAAGTAGTTGATATGTGAAGGTGGCAGAGCTGGGAATTCCGGATTTAAGACAAGCTTCGACGTGGGGCAGCGTGGGGTAAATCGGGGGAGGAAATCGACGTCGGGCTCAGTTCTTATCCGCCACAAAGTGCCGAGTCTGTTGCGGGTTTTATATTGCCAATCGAGTTTTTTATTTATTTAATTGATCCAATAGAAGACTTATTTCGGCGAGAAGCCTCTGCTTCGGTCTCTTCACTTTTCGGTCAGCGGTTCGGCGCGAGCCCTGCGCTCTCTAAGCAGTGAGTCACTAAGGCCGAAGGGCCGAGCTGCTAAGCTGCGGATGTGGAGACTAAACTGTGGGGATTATCATGCGAGATTGGTTTTCAGAGCATTTAGTACTAGTAGTAGTACATCATGATTCATTTGATATACTGCACTAAAACTAACAAGTCTACAGCTTCGACTTCTCCAGGATCGCCACATCCTGGAAGGGAAGACCCAGATACTGCCACATGAACGCAAAGCTATACAGCTTGTTAGTACTCCCTTCTCAGTCACACAGAGAAACTGGAGTCTAGACTCACCGGTCACTGCCAAAAAAGGGCTCTTCTTTGCCCTCCTTGTTTCGCACCCAAAACCACGGAGCACCATACGCCCCTTGATCAAGAGCCGTCTGCGTATTAGCAGTCAAGGCCTGCTTGTATTCAGGGCTAGAGGCAGCACCGACAATAGCCTTGATCTCCTCGTCAGAATAATCATGGCTTTTGAGCAGTTCTCCCAGTTGCTCCGGCTGGCTGATGTTGATGTTCTTGTGGTACATCCACTCCCACAGCGAGAGGAAAGTGGTTTCATAGCGTTCGCGGGGGTAGTTGTTCTTGATATAAATCATGCATCGTTGAGGCTGTGGAAACAAATTAGCTTTCAGATGACCCCTGCAAGTCCAGCTGGGCAATGATTGGTCAAAACAAACCATGATCGAAAGGATGGGGAAGAAATCCGGGGTCTTGATGGGGGCCACGCCGAAGTATTTACAAGCTCGCTCAGAGTCAAACTTGGAGTAATTTGCTTTGGCTGGAAGTGTCCACGGAGGCTTATTTCCTATGATTATATATAAGCAAATGTTCCGGTTCAAATACTGAGGCCTTTTCGAAACCATACCAGAGCCAACATTGACGCCGCCCAAGAAAATGGGATGAAATCTGCCAATGTCAGAAATGCCGGTCGCAAAAGTCGCAACCCCCCTAGATAAAAAGGCGGTCATACTCGACCTCAATTCCATGCGATTTCAGTGCCTGGCGATTTCTTCTCAGATAGAGAGTGGCATAGTATGAATAGGGCGACACTGTACGCCAATCAGCAATCCGCGAGACCCCGGATTCCCCCTTGAAGGGCAGAAGGGCAGGGATGGGCAAAATAGCCTAGGGCGAGTGGGCTCATACCGCAATCAACATACGCATCTATCTTGCCAGTCATGTTGAATAGAAATATTGTAATCACTCCCAAATTGATGACGCGATAGATACTTTCCAGCGCATAGTGAGAGAAAGGATGGGTATATAGCAGTTGCTGTTGGATGAAGGGCCCGAGGTGGAGATGGACCGAGGCTGTGGGGTTGATCACTCATCAGCTATTTCTGTCCCCCTCTACAGCCTCGTTAGAACCGTGACGGCAACAAACAACCAGAAATATCTGTCTTGTCTGGTATTTATCATGTAAACTGTCTTGCTACAAATTACGTGGACTCAGATAATCTGGCAAATTATGTTCTGTCCGAGTCGGCAAACCTTTCTGATTTTGGCCATAGAACTAAAATGCCTCCATAATGTCAATTGGCGAAGAATTGTATATAAACTTGAAGGATCATCAAAGTAGTATTATTAATTAATTTAAACCGGGCCTCAGGATTTCGGCTTTTTTCAATCGCGGCTAATCAACCAGTGGCATCTTATCCTGGAGGGTTTAAATGGTTTCAAACCCACCGACGATGCGATACAGTCCCATGTTTCATGCCGCTAGTCATTCATGTTGGTGTTCTGTACCACCAAGCATTCAGAAAGCCGCAGGTCCTTGTTATCCCTTTCATGGATTCCAATCAGTCCTATATGACTCTTCATTGAAAGTGGCAGTAGGTATTGACTCTTAATCAATTGAATCGCCCATGTAGGTAGCAATATATCAGACCGGTGTAGCTCATGGTATCCGGACACATCTGTGTAGCTTTCACTCCTTCCGAGTAGTGCTGATAGCTGACTGCCTGGTGTTGACAAGGTCAAGGTCGTACGGATTCTCTTCATATTGTGTCGCAGTTGCAACACGTTGAATCGAGCGTCCCGACTGGCGGGATGCCCTGGAAGCATATCTTCCAAAAGAAACACGGGATGGGACTGTTGACAGACTCTCAGTATCGCTTGTCTCATCTACAACCTGACCAGATTGAGCGGCCTGGTCGACGCCCTTCTCTGCGTTGGTTCCCTCCGTCTCCTTGCGCACCTCTGTCTGGTTCTTTTCAGCGAGACGACGCATAAATGCGTCGGCCTCGGCAGCATAAGTGCATTTTTGCCTTATCTGTGCACCATACTTGTAGAAGATGAATGGGAGAGGCACGCAGAGAACAGACAAGAATGCCGGAATGGATGAAGCCCAATGAATGCCGAGATTTTTATACATGTATGTCGTGAAGAGAGGAAAGGCCATTCCGAACAATGATCGAAGGGCCGAGTTGGCTGCTAGAACACTGGCAGCATAGATGGTGTAGGAATCGATGAGATAATTAAACACACTTAAAAAGATAAGGACCATGCCGAATCCAAAAGGTGCACCTGCGGCAACGGAAGCCATCCAATGGATTGACGGAGAGTTTGTCCAAGCAAACCAGAAGAGTCCAATAGGCAGGGCAATTCCACCCACCATGCTTGGAGGGAGTCGAAGTTCTGGGGCTAGACGATCAGTGGTCTGGCTGCACATTTTGGCGTAACGCATGTTCTCGGGGAATGTATACGCGACCGCAAGGAGCATGCCGACCAAGATACCCAGAAAAGCGAGGCCACCGATGCCTTCACTCCAGCCTCGAACTTCTTGGAAGACGATTGGATATGCTGCAAACAACATATAGAGTGTACCATAGATAATGGACATATAGATCGAAAACAGGAGAACGATCGGCTCACGGAATAACAAGATCCATGGGCGTGAGAGAGCTGTCTTGAGGGTCTTGCTCATTGGCATGGGACCACGCTCAATATCAAGTTTGCTCCTGTAGACATGACCTGTCAGTTCGGAAAGTTTTGCAGCTCGGCGACAAAGTAAGACCGGCGCGTAGGTTTCAGGTAGAAGGAAAATGATGCACAGCCAAAGCACACCGGAAAATGCTGCCAAGAACCCTTCTACCCAGCGCCAGCCAGCACCTGTTGCAAGGAAACCACCAATGATTGGACCAATGGTTGGTCCAAGGAATGGTGCCGCAGCGAAGAAACTAATTGCAATACCTCGCTGTGAAGCAGGAAACATATCGGCAATTGTACCGCCTGCATTTCCAAAGGGTGAAGATCCGAAGCAACCAGCGAGAAACCTCAGGATGATAAGAGTCTGAATGTTCTTTGCGCCGGCAGCTCCAGCATTAAAAGTCGTCAAAAATGCAAAACTGATGGTGAATATATGACGACGACCAAATATTTCACTCAGAGGTGCCCATATTAAGGGGCCAATCTTTTAAAACATGTTAGCTGGTTGATCTTAGCTCTCAAGTTTTGCAGGGGTTGCTTACAGCGAAGCCTAGGACGAAGAGCGAAACTCCAAGAATAACAACCTCCTCTTCCACGCCGAAATCCGCAACAATCTGGCTCATTCCACCTGAAAATGCCGACGAAACCAGCGCGACAGCCAGTGTGACGAATGATACCAAGATCGTGATGAACCATTTCTTGACAGTCTTGAAATTCATCGGGTTTCGTGGGTCGTTTGGGAGCCATGTTACAGCGAATGGGTCATCTTCGGTGCCAGAGCCTGGATATGGGTACTGAGCGACTTCTTGAGTGATGACCTTTTGGTCGAATACCAAGCGCCAGAATGGGATCTTGGAGGGGTACGAGACCTCACCCCCGCCGTTAAGAGGCGACATTTTGCGATCCGTCAGTCTCAAGGTGTCCAGCACAGAAGACTGCCAGCCCGCTTTGATAGAATATGTCGACGGTAGGTGATGAACGCAATGCAGATCAACTCTTTGAGAAGGCGATAAATATGGAAGCAGAATTGAAAATCATTTCGCCCCAAACAGTGACATTGAAAATAATTGTCAGTAACAATAAAGGCGACCCACTTTGATAACCGGTAGCCTCGGCATGTTCCTATCCAGGTTAATGCATTGGTCAAGCGAGTAGGGATAATCGGCATCGAGTGCCGATTCGACACAAGTGGGGAAGCACTCAGAGTTTTCGGTGGAGCTATGTTTTATCCTCCAACTTCAAACGCGTTCGAAAATTCGGCCCGGACGCCACCCACGGCTTGTCCTTCAGGCTCATACGGCTTGCCGAATGACAGTCAGCACGGTCAAGCAGCTGGAAAATGCCCAGTAACTCTTATTTAGGTGCTTTTGGGCCATACGGCTGATTTGATAACTTTTCATGCACTCCGGACTTTCTCCACTTGGCCCCTCGATGGGTCGAAGCGGAGTAATCTTTGACGGCTGCACCCGATGTTCTGGATTGACTGCATTGCGTACCTGCGCTGAGCATAAATACACAAATGTATAGGAATTCAGGCTCCAAGGCTGAGTTGTTGGTCGTGCACTGAAAGACTGACATGTCCTCTTTTCCTCGAGACGTAGACCAATTAGGATTTGCCGTAGAGCGCTTAATGACGCTTGTCACCAATGTGAATGGCAGACAGCATTTGTACCGAGCTATGATATCAATCTCTACGCTGAAAAGTTTTATATCCCAATCCTTCAGCGCTGGGGACGTACGTCGAAAATAATTAATTGGAACATGTTCATAACGCAATCTTCTGCTCGAAACTTGGTGGGGCCTTTTTGGATATATACACCTGGAACATAGCAGGCGGATTCAAGGCAGATAGAGACTCTAGCAACAGCCTCAAGAAAATTTCCTTGTCGCGATTCAAAATATACCAGTCGTTGATGGAACATTAGGCGAAAGACAATGAGGGAGAACTTGAAAAGAAGTCGATCTGGTCAAGCAACTTCTTACGCCTTCCTTGCATGTCCCATTTTGACACACTGACAAGTATTCGAAATTCTCTAATTATGAAAAAGGCTATCATTTCAGTCCATAGAGCGTGCCTCATTAATGAGTTCTCGTCCAATTCGCTGTCTCTTCCCTCCGTCTAGTAATTCAGTGGCCATCGGGGAGTTCCCCGTTGATTTCCTGGGCGAGTCACCTCGGGTTCTTACGCGAGTGGAGACAACCCCACAAACAGGGATTCACTGGTTAGCTACACATTTAAACCAACACATATTTCATCAAAAGGGGGAGTTATCGACATTTCGCTGCGTCTTGACTTGAATTTTTATCCTAGGGGTCAACCTAACTCATCATCAACCACGCATCTTCGAACAAAGCATGACTAGCCAGATCCTCGGCTTCTTCAATATGGCTCTTTTGTGAAATAGGCATAGCCGCGCACAGAGCTTATATTCGCGGAATACTCTCCCTCTCTCTACCTTGATCACTCGCGACCCTTCACTATCGAGCCGCTCTCTGATTGTCCGAAACCTTCTGCACTGAGACCCACTCTATCGAGGCTTGTTTTCTTTCAAAGAGAACAGACTCCTTCCCTCAATTTCCATTATTGGAAAGGGAAAATTATACCGGGGAAATGAATAGCGATCAACACCCCTCAAAAGGTGGCCCATGTCACGATGTTCAATCTTCAAATTGTCCTGAGTTCCATTCTGGCAGCGACCCTGCGGATGTTTCACGCACGCATAGCACCATAGACCGTGATCTTTATGATGTTTCTTTCGATGGCGATGAAGATCCTATGAGCCCTAAAAGGTTGCCGCTGGTAAGAAAATGGGCGATTGTTATTATAGTATGCACTGGAACTATGTGTGTGTAAGTTGAAGCCTGCCATTTCGAAGTCCTACTGAATGAGCTAGCTGGTGCTGATTGCGGGATATCAGGACTTGTGCAAGTTCAATTTACACGACGACATATCCACAGATGAATGCCGAGATGAACACTCCGTCCCTAATTGCAATCTTGGGACTGTCGTTTTTTGTCCTTGGTCTTGGCCTGGGGCCACTATTGACAAGTCCCTTGAGCGAGTGGTACGGTCGAAGGCCTATTTACGTCGTCTCGTGGTCTTTTTTCGTTATCTGGAATATCGTAACAGCCGTTGCCAAGAATATTGAAACGGTCATTATTTCTCGTTTCTTCACTGGCTTCGCGGGTGGCACGTTCTTATCTGTATCAGGTGGCACCGTGAGTGATGTGTTCCTACGCTCTCAAATCCAATTGCCAATGACCTTGGTTTCTTCGGCTCCTTTCATCGGTCCTTGTTTGGGTCCTTTGATTGGTGGCTTCATCAGTTATAACACAACATGGAGGTGGAACTACTACTTCATCATCATTTGGTCTGGGGTGCTTCTGGTCTCGATCGCCATATTTGTGCCTGAAACATTCCCTCCAGTCCTACTGCGAGCCAAAGCCGTGATGCTACGGAAATCAACTCGAGATGATCGCTACAAAGCTCCCACAGAAAAGCTTCATACTTCTAGAAGCAGAGCCTTAGCATATGCACTCATGCGGCCTTTCCAGCTTTTATTCTTCGAGCCCATGTGCCTTGCTCTCGATGTTTATGCGGCTCTCTTGCTCGGTATACTTTACCTATTCTTCCAGGCTATTCCTCTCATGTTTGAGACAACCTATGACTGGAAGATGTGGCAAGGTGGTCTTCCATTTGTCGGTATCATTGCTGGCATGATCTTGGGAGCCTTGAGCACCCCACTATGGGCCCGTGTCAAGGATCGTCTTTTAGAACCCCAAGAGAAGCAAACCGGGGATATCGCCCCGGAGTACAGTTTACTTCCAGCTATACCAGGTGGCGTTTTGATCCCAATCGGCCTCTTTTGGTTTGGCTGGAGCTTGTCATCAAATGTTCACTGGATTGTTCCCATCATCGGGTCCTCGTTTTTTGGCTGCGGGTGAGTCTAAATACTCTACGAAGAGACTATGCGGGCAAATTCTGTGTTCAGTCTTGGTGTAAATAAGCTCGAACATCTTGGCTAACTCATTGGGACGTACTAGAATCTTGCTGGCATACAAGGGAATCTTCACTTTTCTTGTGAGTTATTTCACCATGGAAACCCTTTTTTTCTCATACCCGCCCGTTGAAATCAAGATCAATGACACACTAACTTCTCCCAAGGTTGATGCCTATCCACAGTACGCTGCGTCTGCACTCGCCGGAAATGGATTCGTGCGATCATCTTTTGCTGGTACGTGAGGCAATAACATAAATCGCGACAATACTGAAAGCTACTAATTCAATTAACAGCGGCCTTCCCATTGTTTGGGCTGCAGATGTATGATAAACTGGGCTATCATTGGGCAACTAGCTTGCTTGCCTTTCTTATGATCCTCATGATGCCATTTCCATGGGTCTTTTTCAAATATGGAAAAGTCCTGCGAGGCAAGAGCAAATTTGCTTTGAGTGCTTAAATAGATGAGAAAGATATCATTCAACCCCGCATGCATATGCCTAGTTTGTGCAGGTGGCTTGCACTACTAGGATCGGTGTTCGCTAGAAAAATCGACCAGACCATGTACATGTTTTATCATTGTAGAATTTATATGAATCAAAATTCACCCATGCCCATAGACGATTGTCCTCCGATACTCGAACCTTCGAAAGACATGTATTGAGTGAATCCAACACCGTCGTGTAGGAAAAGATCAATATCAAGCGCATTATCGAGATACCCAGCCCATAAAGAATCATGAATGAACTGATCAGGCGCTCTCCATAGGCATCCTTGAGCATGAGAACCGTCGGAATTATTGCCTATATGACAAGTGCAATGAGAAATCGGTCCATCATTGCTCGGCGGAAGCTGATTCGCAACCGGTTGAAGTCTGACGCTCTGTGCTGGTAGTGGCATGTTTGTGTCATTGGATGGAGACCAGATACTTGACGATACATTCACAATTGGTCCGTTTAAGTTAGACCCCTGCCCTGTCAGTCTTTTCATTAGATTGACAAATGCCTTCGAGATCCAGATTCTGACAGGCCAGGACTTTGCTATCACGCTCAGTGCCAGCATGCACTGTCGTGATTTGTTCTCGGCGAGTTGGCGATGGATTGATTCTTTCCGGCATATCACGAGCGTATGTATCGACAATGCAGAGAATAAGGCAGGAACCCTGGTAATTGTCAGTTGAGTCATTAAGATTGAACAACGTTGAATGAGCTTGACCATACATATGAATTAGGCCAGAATGGATCATTCCGGTGGCTAAAAGGTCCTCGGCTAGACGGGTGATAAAATCCGCAGCTGCTCGAGCTCTAGAGTCCCGTTCAGCCTCAGCTGGTAAACCCTCTTTGATGGATTTTGGTCGAAATAGTAAGATCGTACAATTCCTAGTATTTGTTGCGTTAGGTAACCGAGGCCTTCTAGTATCACCAACTACTAGTAGTTTGGAAACACTCACTGATATGAGATTTGCAACATGCAGCCCCAAAATGATCCTTTCGTATAACCTTCGTGGGCTTTCATTTGAACATTTTTCGGAAGTTCTGATTCCCATTCTTCCAGTCTCCGTATCAATGTGTTTGTTTCGAACTTTTCTAGCGGAGGCCGTCGGGGACTAAATTCCCCCAAAAGAATATCGCCGACTAGATTTATACCATTTTATTAATCAAACAAGACATTGATAGGCGTATTGCTGGCGGTTTGACTCACGTAAGGCTGCTAATTTGGCCATTTCGATGACATATGAAACGTGGTAGTCTTTCTGTGCTGGTATGAGGCTTTGGTCGAAGTCTGTATCGAAATCAAAATCCTCTTCTGTAAGAGCTTCAATATCACAGTCCTCGTCTCTTATACGGGTCGGTCGGCCAAAGGCACCAGCGGTATGCCTATCACGGGACTAGGATTATCAGATCATGTGGTGGAAATGAGTGGAAACAACGTGACATACATAGATGATCCACCATATTCGTTTTCTTAAGGACTTCATTCGCGGACTCATTGATGACTGGGACATCCTTTTAGACTTCATTAGCACATTCCTCTCTTAGTCTTGGAAAAAAACTATACATACGAGCGATGCATTCCCAGAGACTGCGCGTAGGTGATCGCACATCCAACCCAATGACAAACGTCTTTCTGGTCGTCATGACTAGCCCACCAGAATCCAAGTAATAGCAAAACCGCGGCAAGATTCATGCGATCAGTCTCATAGTCCGCATCGTAAAGGGCCTTTGCGCGAAGAAAATGTGTCTTTCTTGCTGTGGCACGGTCTGTAAACCCGGCCGCCACCACTAAATCATCGCTTCCGATCGTAAATCCCAGCAGGCAAATTGTTTGCAGAACTAGTGGAGATGTCTGGCCTGCCGAGTACGATTGAGAGAATTTCTCACGATCAAATACTGGATATGCAGGATGAATCTTGTCAAAAAAGGTATAGATCAGTCGGCGGAGAATATCCGGAGTGGGAAGTGTCAGAGCCTCTTGTAAAGATATTGGGGTCTGAAGCTGATTGGTTTCCATCCCTGGTCTATCTGCTATAGATGCAGGGATCGGGTGATGAACCGTTAGCGGCTCAGTCAAGCCACCCTCAGGTCTATGACTTAGTTCGAGAACATAATGGAGAGTCGAGGAATCATCTGCGTAGTTCTCAGAAAAGTTCGTTTGTAAACGATCGCCGATGTGCTGTGCAGGCAATCGCTGGCTCTTCTGGGACTCGGCTCCATTCCTTTGTTCTGGAGTAGGTCCCGGGATGCAATCGCTTGGAGTCGATGGTGATATAGCATACGGCGTCTCAGTGGAGCTGTCTATATGGGAACTGTGTGCACTAGGCGCCTCACTACCTCGAAGGATTTGCCGGGGCCCACTGGCACCCTTAGTCCGGGGGGTATCCCGGGTTTTCCTGATATATCTACATCAATTGTTAAACTGAGTTAATCATTAACTGAGATAAAAGAGAGGAAAATCGTACTTTCCCCGTTTTGAATCAATCAATTCGCACTTGATTTGCCTCATGCGACAATGCCAACATGGCTGTCCGTCACCAGCATCACATTTGACCCGCCTCGCATTGCACGCCTTACAGGCAATCCTTGTCCGGCGGAGCGGAGTTGGGGTCTCGGACGTGCATATATTCTGCGAGGATTCCATCGGATATGCGTAGCCTCGGGGTCGTAGAATACCCCGCGGTGTAGGAAACTGCAAGTCAGCGAGGTTTTCTTTGAAAGTACAATGTACGAATAGAATAGTTGGGGTTGGGAGAAGAGAAGAAGCCGTCGGGGACTCATCTGCGGGCGAAGTGGAGTCGTGGCGAGAGCCCGACGGGATCCGTGCTATCATCACTGGCAGTTGACAGTTTATCGGGAGTCGTATAAGTTTATGCAGTCTTTTTCATGATGATAAGATATCAAATGGTAAAATTTTGTTAATTTAATGGTGTATATGTTGTGGAAATTATATTCAGAGCCCACAAATGTCCTATTTATCTATTTGCGTCGAGTTTTGCCACGCAATAACAATCTGAAAGGCCTCGCCACTATCCCCAAGCCCTTTCATCGTTTCGTTTACCGAAATCAGATCGCTATATAACCTTTTACATAGAAAAACTTACAACCCCTTCTTTATCCAAGTTCTCCTCCGCTTTTCGAATATCATGGAGCAACAGCGCTGAACGAACATGCAACTCTAGTTGGATTAGTTAGCGATAATCTACTTCAAAATTAACGAACGACACGTACCTTGAATTTCCAAATCAAATGACTTGGCTTCATCTTCAGTCGCTTCCTTTTCCACGGCCCGCATTCTAAGGCCAACTGACTTTTCAGAGTTCATCCAAATAATCTCCTCTGTATTTCGCTCAAGCCATGCCCGATCAATGCGAATCATCCCATCATGGACGACAAATGCCGGAGCGATGAAATATTCTTGAGCCGCAATGATTAGGTTCAACTTCACTCGTAGCTGGATAAAGCTTTCATAGTCTTCCAAGGTGACTTGGCGCGTTGCGAAGCCTTTACATCCCGTCTCACCCATGTGAGCACGGATCAGGTCGTCTCCCCCACATAAGAGGATGATATTTCCTACGGGTGGGCCGGCGGGGGCGCTGTTTGGTGGAAGTGCTTCGGGACGATAGATACTATGTAAAGCTGTTGTTCGGGGCGCGGAATCTTCATCGATAGTGTCCAATCCCGGGGTCTGTAGGAGCTGACATCGAACCCGTGATTGCACGGAGTCGGGACAGGCGCAGAGAAGCATTAACCTGATATCACTGCGCTGTACCATTGATCGCAGTTGGCTTTTTAGTGTGGGCTCCACTGCATCTTGGAAATGTCGGGAGACGGTCATCAACTTGGCCAGGGAGATTATCGGGAGATGGGAGAAGATCATGGTGATCAGCTGTCACCTGTCAGCCTTGGGGTTCCAGTACATTAGGACTAAGTATGGCATCAAGCAAGGCTGGATATTTGGGCAGAGAGATAGTTATGATTCTGACATACCTCGTTCGGAAGAGAGCATAAGTTCAATCTGCTCTTAGAGAGATGAGAGGGCCTGGGGTTATGAGATATATGGCGATCTGAGAATACTGGTTGTCTGATACACTCCATTGTAGAATGAGGAGATCTAAGGAAGAGATAGATAGAGGAGGGGAAAGACCGAGAGCAATATGGGAGGGAGAAATCGAGATGATATACTCTTCCCTGGTTTGCCTCTTCGCCCTTTGCGGGAATGAGCAGCTTCTATGGTGGTGTGATCCGCGGTATCTTCCAATTTCCAACTGCCAATGGATGGCTCTTCATCACTTTGTGCGACTCCGAAACATCATATAGTACCCTAGGTACATATGATTCGAACAACATTCGACCTGGTCGTGTCTGGAAATGGGATGGTATAGGATTGAGCGTGTTTCTGCCGAGCTAAAACCGAAGGGGGGTTGGACACATGACGTCACGGGATGTCTGATGCTGACACAGCAGTTGTACTAGTTAACCAATGGCCATACTTCTATGCACTAACTATGCACTAGTTAGCTGTGTATGTATGAGTACCGGTTACTCTAAAAAGCTTACACTGCAGTCAACAATTCCAACTATAGCATCCCACACCACACCATACCACACCACCGTGCAATCCGATGTTTCTGACCTATAGTCTCCACTCTCTGCACCCCATGCCGTGCCCCGGTGGCCCCCCGGTTCCCCGAGCGCGGGAAGCCGAGCGATGCCTTATCCGGCTCACCGAACAGCCCTGGGGCAATGACATCGGCAGTCAAGTGATGGAGTATACTCCAGCTATAGAGCTGATCACTCTCGTATTGAGAGTGAGGTTATAAGTATTTCTAGCTTATATCAGTGATACTAGTAGTTATAATACTTCCAAACTTAATCTCATTCCCATTTCTGTTGACCGATTGATTACCTCTACATTCTACATTGTACCGTCGCACTGGGGGCTGCCAACTGGGAGAACCCCGCGCCCCCGCCGGAGAGGCCCAAACGAGAATTTAACCGGCATCCGGGGGTTTTAAAGGCCCTTTTAAAGGGTTTTCGATTCGAATTCTTCCCTTTTTCTCTTTCCCCAAGGTACTCTCCAGATCTTCCTTCTTTTTTTCCCTTATTTTTCCTTCTCCAAATCCCCAATGGAGAACGTACTGGACGACATCTCCCACCGGAGATACAATCCCTTTCGCGGGTCTCACATTCTGGTTTCCCCCCACAGAACCAAGCGTCCCTGGCAGTGAGTTGACCCTTCTCTGTGCAATTGTGTTATTATTCAACCCCCATTTTCTGATCCCATCTCTGGTAGAGGACACCAGGAGAGTCCCTCCAAGACCACTCTGCCCAATTATGACCCCGCATGCTATTTGTGCCCTGGAAACCAACGCGCCCAGGGTGACGTCAACCCCAAATACGACAACACCTTCGTGTTTGTGAATGATTACAGCGCCGTTAAGGAGGAGCAGGCTGCCTACGATGGCAAGACCAGTGATGGTACTTTCTCTTCTGCCCCAGTGGGATGTATGCACAATGCTCACCAGCAGTAGAACTCGAATCGCGCTTCCTCAAGGCTGAGCCCGTCACGGGTAAATGCTACGTCCTCACCTTTTCACCATCCCACAACCTCACCTTGGCCGACCTGCCACCCGCCGAGATCGTTCCCGTAATCAATGCCTGGACCGAGATCTATGCCGCCCACCTGTCGCCCACTTCCCCTCTCGCAAAGAATGCCCCAGCCACGCCCAACCCACCCGTTTCGCACGACACCCCCATCACCAAGCCGAAGGAGCAGTACCGCTACATGCAGATCTTCGAGAACAAGGGCGCCGCGATGGGTTGCTCGAACCCCCACCCCCACGGCCAGGTCTGGACTACTAGCACTCTGCCCGAGGAGCCCGCAGCAGAGATGGAGCAGCTGCGTAAATACCGCGCTGAGCACGGCGGCAGCCACCTACTAGAGGACTACGCCGCACTAGAGAGCCGCAAGCAGGACCGAGTCGTATTCGAGAACGAGGCTTTCATCGCCGTCTGCCCTTGGTGGGCGACCTGGCCCTTTGAGACTATGATCGTTAGCCGCACACACAAGCGAGCTCTGGTCGATCTGTCCGATGCCGACAAGACTCTCCTCGCCGAGGCTATTGCTGAAATCACCCGTCGATATGATAACCTCTTCGAAACTCACTTCCCCTACAGCATGGGTATTCACCAGGCTCCGCTGGACGGTACGGCCGAAGAGATCGAGGCTTCTTACCTGCATCTGCACTTCTACCCACCTCTGCTGCGCAGCGCCACGGTGCGCAAGTTCCTTGTTGGTTATGAGCTCATGGCTGAGCCCCAGCGTGATATCACTCCGGAGCAGGCTGCTGCCCGCCTACGCGGCTGCGGCGGAGAGCTGTACCGCAAGAAGATGGCTTAAAGTTGCTGATAGCTTTGGAATATGCAGTTGCTCGTATTATGCATTATCAGCCACTTCTCCCTCGTCGGACCAAGATCAAGAATCAAGAAAGAAAAAAGTTGTAGCAATCAATATTAATAAATTCCCACCATAATGGTGGCGTGGCTCGAATACATTTTGTTCTCAGATGGTATTTTGGGGATCTGGTCGCCCGAGTCCTCATCAAATAATCATACATCATAATCCACACCTATATTGTATATTTGGCAATTGTCGACGCGATAGATTGCCCCCCTTAGACCAGGTACGCCTCGCGCTGGGTCAGCATCCAAGCCAGCGAGGACGAGGCCACGACTAGAGGGCTGAGGAATCGACCACGGAGAGAAGCGTTTCCAAAAACGAGTTCACCAACGAAGTGTGTCAGGGCAATGCCATAGGTCCACAGGGCAAGATCATAGGCGACCGGGTTGTCGATGTTATAGGCGGCAGTCATGCGGATGACAGCGGAGAGGAAGGTCCAGGTGCCGAACACGCGACCGGACAAGGGCTCAACGGCAATTGTTCCGTTGGTGTAAAGCTTGGAGGTATAATCGGCGGAGAAATAAGCTTGCAGGCTGTTGACGGCGGAGACCACGGAGACCTGGTTCGGTGTCAGCGGAGATTCACACAGGAGTCAAGGAAGGTAGACGTACGAAAACAAGCCATTTGGGCAGCAGACCCTCAAAGGGGGGGTAGATAGGATAGCAATTGATCCATGATGTTCAATATGGGATGTGGGGATAGTGATGGGATGATGGAAGGGACCTTTAAGTTAAGGAATTGGCTTGTGATGAGAGACCGAGGATGTTCTCAAATGTTTGGGGTTCTTGGCGTCGATCGTCCCAACAAGCTGCCCTTCTTTTTTATTCTCTTACACTTCCCCGTTCCCCTCCACCTCCACCTCCACCTCCACACACCACTCTCACAATGGATCTGTCAAAGCACATCGAATGCATTTCGCAATGGCCTGCTCATATCCCGGCAGGTCTGCCCGCCGTGGGCGCGTTGGTCCTCCTCGCAACTGGTGGGCTTGCTGTCGCCTGCAAGGTCTGGAGCTTCCTGCGGGTGATCCTCAGTCTATTCATCCTTCCCGGCAAACCGGTTCGTACTCGTCTATACTATGTTTTCCCTGACTACTCTTTTCATGAACTAACATGTTGAATCATCGCAGCTTCGTTCCTTCGGACCCCCCCGGTAGCTGGGCTGTGGTAACTGGTGCCTCGGATGGCCTGGGTAAGGAATTCGCGCTGCAGCTGGCGCGGGCCAAGTTCAACATCGTGCTGGTGTCGCGAACCGAATCGAAGCTGGAGACTCTCGCCGAGGAAATCACCAAGCAATTCCCCAATGTGCAAACCAAGATCCTTGCCATGGACTTCTCCCGCAACTCCGACGCCGACTACACCGCGCTGAGTGCTCTTGTCTCGGATCTGGATGTCTCGATCCTCGTCAACAACGTCGGCCTGAGCCACTCGATCCCCGTCCCCTTCGCCCAGACCCCAGCTTCCGAGATGGCCGATATCATCACCATCAACTGCACCGGTACCCTGCGCGTCACCCAGCTCGTTGTCCCCGGCATGATGCAGCGCCGCCGCGGTCTGATCCTGACCATGGGTTCATTCGGTGGTCTTCTCCCTACACCTCTACTGGCCACCTACTCCGGAAGCAAGGCCTTCCTGCAGCAGTGGTCTACCGCTCTGGGTGGCGAGCTGTCTTCCTACGGCATTGAGGTCGAGCTTGTCCAGGCTTACCTGATTACCTCCGCCATGTCCAAGATCCGCCGTGCATCTGCCTCCATCCCTACTCCCCGCGCTTCGTCCGCTCCGTCCTCTCTAAGATCGGCCGTAGCGGTGGTTCCTCCTCGTACGCTCACAGCTCCTCTCCTTACTGGAGCCACGGCATCATGGCCTGGTTCCTGACCTCCATCGGAACCATGAACGGCTTCGTGCTTAACCAGAACAAGTCCATGCACGAGAGCATTCGCAAGCGCGCACTGCGCAAGGCTGAGCGTGATGCTCAGAAGAAGAGTACTTAAGCTCCAATTGACTCAATTGTTAGACACGGCACAGCGGATGTGGGCCGGCACTTTTTCAGACACGGTTCTCCATTCTTGCTCAATGGATGGTGGGAAAGTGGATGCAGTTTGGAACCCAAAACTGTTACGCATGATGATGATCAGAGTGTACTGAGCGCATTTTAGGACAGCTATTATTTTTAATCATATATTATCGGATATCTAGATCACTCTCAGGGTCCATGATGGATTCTCGCTATACGAGAATACGATTCTTAAAACTTTGGGTACTACTCCGTCTATCGTAGTACTAACCTGTGCTCTGCTGTTTCAGCCCTGTCGCAAGCCTCTCAAAGGATCAATAGCTTGGCCATTCTAGGTCGGAGTTGCGAACGGTTCACCTGGGCACCTCATGCCTGAGACATGTGGACCTCGATGGGGTCACGGTCTTTTCTACATCTAGTAAATGGGCGACACTCTTGCCGTGGTTGTTTATGACCAATAATGAATTGAGCATCCCAGTCCGACTTGGGACGACCTGCTACGGCACAACCCTCAACCTCAACAACCAATGGCCCGAGCATCGAACGTAATTCAATTTATCAATGACGTTCCAAGGTGCGGAGAGACTATTCTACCCTGTCACACTCGGGCAAGTAATTCAGCGACGCAATCTCTTATTCACCAGTCTTGTTCACAGACCTTCGGCGGGATTTCACGATGTGCTCAGTCCTATGGAACTCCGACATCTTTCGTTACATGCCCAAGCGTCCAGAACCCCGGAGGTCTAGGCCAAAGCAGATGCGGCCCAAGCACATATCTTGACTCTTCCTTTCAAATCTTCCTCAATTTTGAGCCCGTAGATCTCCTACGGTAAGTGATGCAGGATTGGACGCTAGCCGCGACGCGAGGGATCAGAGGTGACACCAATCTCCAACAAGAGAAGCCTATTCTAACCCCCGGTGTTCCTTTTCGTCGCACTGGTAGTTGGTCGTGAGCTGAATGTACCAGCTCACGACAGAACCTCGTAGGTATCTCGGGACCCCTGCATGGGTATCGGTTTCATCGGTGATCGTCGAGACCGGGGCTTTCTACGATATCGCAAGTCACTGCGAGGTTCCGTCAGTGGCGCCGTATTGCCCATGGACCTAACTCCACTTCATTGCAGACGGGTAGACAGATAGACACGAGAAGAGGGGTGTACAAGATTCAATTGCCTAGGACCTCGTTCAATCAAGATTCTCACAAGCTCCCATGCAGCCCAGATCTAGCGCCTGAGATCGGGAATTAGCGATGCATGTGAGATCCCGACACACGATCAAAATTAAATCTGCATTTGAAACCGAGGGAAGACGGTAGTAACCAGGGATCTGACTGTTTGAATTTTGCCTCGAAATGTCCCCCCCACTGACGGTCAGTGAAACGCGGGTGTCAGAGATATAGTACTAAGTGGAGCCCTACCGGGGCGGGTTGCGTTGTTTTGGCAGCGCGGCAAGGATTGCTGCCACACCCCGAAGTGGACTCGATGAGAGCATTTTCGAGAAAGGAATGAACTTGAAAAGAAAGAAAATAAAAAACTAAGCTGAAACTCAATCAGAAAGAGTCATTCGCCCGGGTCTACTAGAATTATCTAGACTCGATTACTGGTTCGCCTGTTTAGCATTTTCGTGACCGCTGATCCTGTCGGCAATGATGCAGGGACCCCCCCCTGTTAGTAAGTTTTGCTGGCAACGTTTTACTTGTTAGTGAGCTTACTTTAATGCGAGCCCCGCGCTGTTTCTGTTCCCTCGTGGCTCTTGGCAGATCTCGATGCAATATATTTTTATATCGGGTCATGTCCACTTTCAAGTTCGAAGCTCTGAGGTCCCGTGTTGAAGTCCTGTGAGATTTAGGTCATGTCTTCCGAGTCGACGTCGAGTGGAAGTCTGGTTCATGCACTAAGGCAGAACTGGCTGGGAAAGACTGATATTGCGGTGCAAACAATTCTGCTGGCAGTTGCTTTTGTGGTTGTTGGTCTACGACTATGGACACGACGAAGGTTGCGAGTCTCGCTTCAAGGGAATGACTGGTTCATTCTAGCAGCTACGGTGAGATGGCAATGCTTATTATCGGGGGGTAATAGATCGAACTGACGGAATGATACAATAGGTCATCATGCTGGGACGTTATATCGTTGAGCTTCTTCTCATTTTACTCTGTGGAATGGGAATCCATACGGATGAAGTCGTCCGTCTTGGTGGGTCTGAGACCTTGGTACGCTTCAACAAGGTAAGTGCCGCTCTATACGAATAATTCGCTCTTTATAATATCACTCGGAAACACATCTAACCTCAAATTAGCTTACATATGTGGGAGAGCTCCTTTGGGTTACCGTGGTGGCTCTCATTCAGCTCTCCATACTACAATACTACTTCCGCCGATTCCAGGAACCGATTATTATGAGGCTGACCTGCGTTTTAATCGGCCTATGCTCAGCCCTCTGGATTGCAAGTTTGCTGGCAAATGCCTTCCTTTGCACACCACCACGTAAAGTCTGGCTGGCCAGCGTTGAAGGTGACTGCGGCGATCGCAAGATGCTACACACCGGCTGTGCAGTGAGCGAACTCATTCTCAACATATTCATTCTTCTTCTCCCTATACCAATTCTTCGACATATGAGATTCTCACGGAAGGGGGGAATTTCTCTGGCCAGTACCTATCTTCTAGGTCTAGTGTGAGTAGTCCTGTTCGCTTCCGGGTCTATTTCGCTGCCCACCATGCCTTTCAGCACTGACATTTCTACAACAGTATCATCGCCCTCTCGGCACTCCGTGTCGATACCAAACTTTTCCTCACTTCAAAAGACTCAACCTACGGTTCGGCCCCAGAATCTCTCGTGTCGAGCATCGTGACCCTTTTGGGTATCATTGTTGCCTGCCTACCGGTGCTGGCGCCGGCTAGCCAAAGGATCAACGGGACCCCAGAATGCACATTGATATCCGAGACTCCAAGATCAGACACTGTTTCGGGTAGCAGATATTGGAAGGCAACTGTGTTGTCAGGCGGGCAGAAGGAGGAACCGGAAATCCCCCTTGTTACGGTCACTCAACCACCGGTGGGCAAAATGCCCGGGTTCAACGAGTGGGCTCTTGGGCAGATCAAAATTACATCGGATTGGGAAATTCATTCGACTCGCAATTCCGCGCGGCTGGATAAGGATTCTATTCGTCGTGGTTAAAATGGATTTTGTTTGAAACTGAAACTGAAACCGGGAAATGAAGTTATGATCACCGTACGAATTCTAATTTGCCAGCATATCGGCAACCCCGGCCTTTGATATGTACTCGTAGCCCAGTATTTCAAGATGACAGATCTTATTTAGATTGTCGTATGCTAGTCGAAAAGTCGATTCCAAACTTACTAATATCTGTCGCGGATCAGCACCGCCATTAGATTTGACGGGCAAGCCTTTCTTACACAGACTAGTGCCGATGGCCCAAGGTTTGCAGATCTGATTAGATGGAAGTTAAATTTTATTCCTTAACATAGGCTGGCCCGGTGACTACTTATTATATGAAGTGGTACCAGGATCGCGAGTCGCATGTATAGTTACTACTAACTAGTAGTCAATTTACAAAGACCATGGAACAGCTCTCTTGATGCAAACATTTCCCCGGTCATCCAATCAATCGGCCATCTGGCCTAGTGGTAAGGCATCCGTTTCCGATGCGGGAGATCGCAGGTTCGAATCCTGCGTTGGTCGTTTTTTGCCATTTTTCTACCCTCCAAATGGAGGAGATAGAATAATGGATGACGACAGATGATGAGGTCCGGAAGATTGTTTTTTCTGGATATATTTTTTATACCCAGAGATAATCATTGACCATATATATATACATCAAAAAGAATTCAACCCGATACTAGTAGATCTAAGATATGTGTCTTGCTGAACTGAGCCTACCCTCCCCATCGGCTCCGATCCACCCAACCAGGATACCCCTGGGATATAACAAAAACAAAAAGCGACCAACGCAGGATTCGAACCTGCGATCTCCCGCATCGGAAACGGATGCCTTACCACTAGGCCAGATGGCCGATGCATAGAAAGAAGTATCCCAAGTTGGCGTGAGAAACCTACGAAGCGTTATCCGATACCGCCGAAGTTGCCACCTTGAGGCACTGGCGACTAAGGTTGTGGCTCACGCTTTGACAAGCCGAAGGTTTGGATACACGTGTATGTGTCCATAATTCCTGCCGTTCTAACTGGCCAGCCCGCAGCATTGGAAATCCTGCGGGTCCTTGTCGCATACAGCAGCCCAAGCCGACATGCGTTCATAACGATCATACGGAGAGGGAAGCAACAGCAAATCAACAATGGCTGGGATAGGATCGATCGCCACGGCTTTGAACTCGTCTAAGGGTGACATCCCTCGAATAGTATGCATATTGCTTTTCTGGTCTAATGTACTCGTAGTACAAAGATTTGCCATTATCAAGAGTCTGCAGTTGATACTGCTGTGCTTCGTGTTGCCTTGCCCAAGTACCTCCGCTTGGGCCATGGTGCCACTTCTCGCGAAGCTAGGTACGTGCATACAAACAACAATACCATTGTTTTACAATCCACCGTGTGGGAACCGCAGGTGCCAAGTGGACGGGAAGTTGTGGCGCCTGCGAGGTATCATCGCCCTTTGAGTTCTGGAATACTTTTCCACCCCCGCCCTGGATGATCAAATATAGCGAGCATGAGAAATTGGCGACCAAACTGCGAAGAATATAAATAAAAAATCGAATTTGCAGAACCATTCTCCAATTTCGAGTGCTATTTCCCCGCAGAATGATTTTCCCGGGGGTTAATGTGAGGAAAACTCGGAGAATACCGAGCTCCGAGTCTTCGTACAGAGCAAAATAGGATCCGCAGCAGGATCCGCACACAACCGAAGAGAGAAAGCTAGTTTCTGTTCCGTCGTCCCACCTGTATTGCAAATGCCAGGTCTCCGCGTAAAGCACGCCTTATAAGTACACGGGGTCGCTAAACTATGCATGGTTGAAATCGAGTACTTCCATCGCCAGCTAGTCAAAGTACTGATAGCAGGTACACATTTGAAACTATGTCTTCAACAGTATCATTCTCTCATGATGTGCCTATTGTGATTGTTGGCGCTGGCCCGGTCGGCATGGTCCTTGCCTATCAGCTGGACCGCCTAAATGTACCCTGCCTTCTGGCCGAAAGGTCCCTTGAAATCAGCAAATGGCCCAAATTGGACTTGACGAACCGCAAGTCGATGGAACTGTTCCGCATTCTAGGTCTTGCTGAGGAATACCGAGGACTCGAGGGCAGTGTGAGCCAAGATGCGACCTTTGATACCCAATTCGCGACAAAGCTAGATGGCAAGGGGCACCTCTTAGCAAATTGGGTGAGTGCTGTTATATTGTCATTATTATGATAAGCCGATCAGCTCTAAGATAGAATCTAGAAACTGCCATCATCCGCAGGCCAAAGAGCTCATATTAAGGATACGAATGATGGAACTCAATGTGCGGAAGCAGGTCAAAGATGCTTGCAGCCAATCTTCGAAAGTTGGTTGAGACAGAAACTACAAACTAAGAGTAACATTTCCAGCAAATTTGGATGGACCTACCTGGTGCATACTGAAGGAGATCAAGGTGTGAGTACAACATTTGTTGATCAGAACGGCGAGTATCACGTTCTGCACAGCAAATATCTTATCGCCTGCGATGGTGGAGGAAGTCGAATCCGTAAGACCGCCGGCATTCCAATGACTGGTGGTCAAATGTATGTTTTCTATCGGAGAATTCGAAAATCTACGCTAATTATGTGAGCAATAGGCCTTTGAGAATGCATCTCGTCCATTTTAGATCACGACAATTTGCGGAGGAGCGGTCTTTTGGAAAATATTGGCATACTTTCTGCTCACATGGTGGAGTGATACTTGACCAGAATGATGATGATATGTTTACCGCTCATCTTCCGACGCATCTACTCCCAGAGGGCCCGGTCGACCCCTATGAGGTTGTGTATCGAATCATGGCCTCTGCTGGTCAGCGCCATGAGATTAAGATCGATGAAATTTATGCACACAGTGAATGGGCCCCGAATTTCAGTATTGCCAACCAATACTATACGGATAGCATGAGGGTAATTCTGGCAGGTGATTCTGGTAAGTTCTATGAGACGACACGTTCAAAATCAGCACATACTGATCTATTCAGCTCATCGAATGCCGCCTCATGGTGGATACGGAATGAACAGCGGTGTCGTTGATGCTGTCGATCTTGGTTGGCGATTGGCCGCAATAGTCAAAGGTTATGGAGGCGAGCTACTTCTAAAGTCCTACAACATGGAACGAAGGCCAATGCAGATTCGTACTCTGGAAAGAGCCCATCGTCATATCATGGAGCATATCAAATTGGCACAGATGTACCCACCAGAGAATAACCCGATTGACGATGACACGGAGGAGGGCAAGGACCTGCGCGCGCGAGTCGGCAAGTTCCTCGAAGAATCAGGACCGGAAACTGAGGACCGAGGTGTTGAGCTCGACCTCCGTTACCATTCCCCACCCTCTATCAAGATGGAACGCCTGAATTGGAGTGGACACCCGACCGGTATCGTCCCAGTACCCGCCCAGGATCCCGCGCTCCTCATGTGTTTTTGAAGGATGGGGAAACGAGCATCTACGACTTGTTCGGTGCTGAATGGACCCTGATTCACTTCGTGGACGATGAAGCAGAGAGTGTTAATAAGGAATCTGCGAGTGACCGTATCGTGGCTGCAGCTGCTAGGCTGAGTATCCCCATCTCACGCGTCATCATCAGAGACGAGCCCCATGTCCGCCGCATCTGGGAACGTAACATGGTTCTTGTGCGTCCGGACACACACGTTGCGTGGAGAGCGGACAACATTTGGGATCTCAATGTCAATGAGGTCTTGCAGGTTATTTCGGGCAAGAAAGAGTTTAGCAGATTCCAGCCATCGCATGCGTCTGCGGATGCAGAGGCTAGATTCGAAGCTCTCGTGAAAGGAATCACTGATGGTGTAACTGGCGGGGCGACCATTGCCCAGGATGACATTGCATAAATGCCCTTTAATATAACCTTGCAACGTTTTAATTATATGGAGAGATTATGATTCAATGGTTACTATTCATTATGTTGTATATACATTATCTATCCTTGTAAAATGCGACAAATTATATGAAACTAACATCATTTCCCATAGACCTTAAATCGTTGTTCAATCGGGTCGAACTCTTTCTCTTCGATCTTTTCGCCTGGGGTACCAAAGACCATTTGACCCTCAAGCTTCCAGGAACTAGGGATGTCCCAAGTCTTTGCAACTTGGTCGTCAATCAATGGGTTGTAGTGTTGCAGGCTTGCGCCCAGTCCTTCAGACTGAAGTGATAACCAGACTGCAATAGATGTTAAAAATTGAATCTCAGAAAGGCGTTGGTAGAGGGACACATACTGAGGTACTCAGCCATAGCGTTCGCCTCCAAGGCGAAAGTGTCAACTTTGTCTGCATAGATTGCGAATTTCTCCTTGGTAGCTTCGAGGGACTCGTAGTCAACAAATAGTAGAATCTTTTGCGAAGTCAGTCATTCGAATCAGTAGGCAAAATAGAGTGTGGATGTATTTACAGTTCCATAAGCGGCCTTGAAAGCTTCTAGCTTGGGCTTTGTGTAGTTTTCGAACATCTCCTTCGGAACAGCGCCCGCCTTGACTAGACCCTCAATGACTGAAATGGCGATATCCCACACTTTCGTGTGCTCATCCTTTAGTAACAGGACAACTCGGGATGATTGTGTGTTCCAAGCAGTAGGGACATGCTTGGTCGCATTTCGGATAAGAGTCTCGAGATCATCGTCAGAAATGGGGCTTTTGCCTAGCAGTTTATAATGAGTACGTCGCTCTTGAGTGAGCTTTAGCAGACTGCGGGTGTTTTTGTTGAAAGGCTTAGACTGGCTTAAACCCATGATGATTGTGAGTGAAATCCTTTGAATTTCCACGGAAAAAAGGCAGCACCGGGGTTAATAGCTTAGCTCCCCATTATCAAGAAGATGCTAAATATTTATAAGTGGGCAGCGATAACTCGAGACGGACGTGATCGCCGGCTTCATCCCCGTTTATTGGAAGCAACCTTGAATTTTACGGAGGCGTTTCTCCATCAAGTTCAAGACCGTTATCCACTATATTTCAATTTTACCGCGCTTGTAATACGCTAATCGCCCTCCCGGTATCCAATAACGCGCGGGTATAATTTTCTTGCACGGGATAGGGCTACGTGGGAGTAGAACAATGGTCCGGCGGCCAGAGCTCAATAAAGGTCCCCACTCAAAAGTGGACAATGGCTTAGAAGCGAACCTTCCCCCACCTGCCAACCTCAGTTTACTTCTGCACCGGACCGAGATCTGTGCGCAGCATGAACTGGGATTCTCTTCTTCAAGACAAGACACGGGAGGGGGCGGATGAAGTAGAAGTTTAGTGAATGCAGCACTCATGCAGCCCAGACGGGCCACACCCAGAGCGCTGGTTATGCTAATGCATGGTCTTCCTTCTGCCAGCGGACACTATGCATCTGAACGCATTGGGGGTATTTGTATCCGCTGGAACGAAATATAGATTCAATTGCCTCGGTGTTCCCTGAATAAAGAAGATCTTCGGTGTTCGTGGGATAGTTTCGCCATACGTGGGAGGGAAAATAGATCCACCTTGATACGAAAATCACATCAAAACACACCGAGGCTTGGGGCTTATCGGGAAAAAAAGAATTAGCTGTTTAGCTTGATTACGGGTTCCTTTAGAGTCCGCACTCGAGGCATAAAATGGCCTCAGGCATTGATACCCACTCCTTATAACTACTGGTAGGAGCAAGCCTAATGTCAATCGTACTCTGACGCAGCTACTAGTAGTATTCAGATTTTCAACCCGAAAATTTGTTCATCCAACCGATAATACTAGTATAGCAGTTAAAATAATCATGTTGTGGTACTACTACTAGTACTTGGGATGTATGTTCGTTACCCATGGAACTAACTGCCTTCCAAGGTTTTAAAGGTTAAATGAGCTCTGAAGCCCTCAATTAGCAGATAATCCAGCCTACAGAAGGTTCCCAGGTTTTTCACTTCGATGCCCATGATTTCTATCGAGTTCTCACCCTACATATTAAATTTCGAACTATGGTACAAGGAGTGTTGTGAGGGAGACAGGGGTTGATGAATCATAACCCCTTGATGTATACGCAAAATCGCCGACAAAGGGCAAGTTTGAAAGTTCCGAGAAGCCAGAGAGAAATTGTTCATAGCAGCCTCAAACGAGGTGCATAGCTCGTATGCCTCGTTTGAAGTTCTCCGCGAATAATCAGTACTAGTTCTCATTTCAAGATAAGCCCTACGGCAAGCCATTGACGCCCACGACCAGTGACGAGACCTCCTTGCATGACCTCCTGCAATGATGATCGACGGAGATATCTCACCAAACAAGCATCGGAACATTCTTCCCGTGATAAACAAGCCCAAGCCACCAGCTCCTGGGGAGCATGGAAGTGACAACATGCCAGAGCAAGGGCGCCAACACTGTCTAAGGACCCTCTCACGAGGGCGCAATCCCCCACTCCCCCTTGATCCCAGTAATCCTAGAATGTCACCAAAGCGATCATTATAAAGTGGTCTGATATCCCGTCATCCCTCATTACGACGCTTCTTCGCATTCCTACACTTGCGTTTATACACCCCTTCTTGCTCGCTTTCGACCCGACCCGTCGCTCGTCGACGTTGACACTCTTTCTACGACAACAACCGAAACACCAACAAGATGGTTAAGACTACATACGCTCTTACCCTTTGTGCCGCTGTGGCATTGGCTGCGCCTCTGCCTCCGAGCGAGAGTGATGCAGGAACTGATATGGTTCATATGCGCCGTGATGGCAGCGGTAACTTCATCGGTGCTGGTACAGCTGGCGGCGAAGTGAACGATATGATTGCTTCGCTGCTGAATCCCAAGCTGAGCTCCAGAGATAACGAGCCGGCTGATAGCAAGAAGCCTGCCGGCGACGAGAAGCCCGCTGGCGATGACAAGCCTACTGGTGATGACAAGGATGGTAAAGATGGTAAGGATGGCAAGGATGCGAAGGGCAAGAAGAAGAAGCCCGAGCCGCCTCAACACCATATCATCAACAGTCTTCCGATCGTTGGCCAGCTCCTGGGTGGTGTGCCGAAGCGAAGCGTTGACCATACTCCTCGCTCGTTGACCGGTGATCTCAGCAATTTCCCTCTCCTGGGAAAGCTGTTTGGTGGGGTATGCTTTATACCGCTCCCTGGTTTTAACGTCGATATTAATGATGCCCATATAGAACCAAGCTCATCCAGCCAATACCGGTAAGAAGCACACCCGATCTGTTGATGGATATCCTTTGTATGGTGGCCAAAACTGGGGCCAGAACGAGGGTCAAAACCATGGCCAGAACGAGGGCCAGAACTATGGTCAAAACCGTGGCCAGAACTACGGCCAGAACGAGGGTCAGAACGAGGGTCAGAACGAGGGTCAGAACGAGGGTCAGAATGAGGGTCAGAATTGGCTCCAGAACTATGGCCAGAACGAAGGACAAAATGAGGGTCAGAATGAAGGACAAAACTACGCTCAAAACCACCGTCGAAAGGACGACGGTGGCTTTGGTGATGACGCGGAACGAGTAAGTTTTCTATATCACCTTGATGCCTCAACTTGACCAATTGTCTAATGTCCCGTAGAACCAACAGCCTGCCGAGCAGGTTGATGAGAAGCTCAGCCACGAAACTCGTGACATTGGTGGAGACACTGAAGGCCTCACTGGCCTACTGCGCACCTTGACCAGCGGAAAGGTAAACCTCGCGACTCTTGACATCAATTCTCCGCACACATAGTTAACCAACTTCATAGCCCACAACCCAGAATGACCGCCGCAGTGAGAATGCCGATGATATGAAGCTCGGTAGTATCGGTGACGCCGTCACCGGTGCCGTGACTAGCGGCCTTGGTGCTGCTGACAGCGTAATGCCAGTATGCGAATAAGACCTATGCACCTCAAGGGGCCTGAATGCTGAAACTGCCATAGTTCCGTCGCAGCGAGAATGCCCACGGCGAGCCCGATGCTTTCGACAGTGTTACCGACGCTGCTGATGCTGCTGATGGCATCCTCATGGTATGCGAGTCCTGTTGAACTTCGGTATCAAATGAACGGAATACTAAAAAAAATTGCTTCCAGCGCCGCAGTGAGAATGCCAACGGTGGACCCGATGCTTTCGACAGTGCCACCAACGCTGCTGATGTCGCCGACGGCATCCTCGTGGTATGCTAGCCTTATTGAACTTCAGTATCAAATGAACGGAATACTAAAAATTGCTTCCAGCGCCGTGCCACTCCCACCGGAAGCCATACTTCGACCACCACCACGCCCTCCTCTTCGTCTACCCCCTCAGCCTCGTCTACCAAGAGCCCCAGCGACCCCTTCCATCTGATGAAGGAACTCGCCAAAGAAGCTGGCCTCGGCGCGCTGGTTGGTAACGCCCACCACGGCGTTGGTATTCTCCCGGTAAGTGATACTTACTCTTAGCAAAGATCGATCCTCTCTGTACGAAGTAATCTTGGCTTACTGGTTGCTTTGATAGCTGAACTCGCGTGAGGTTCACGAGCACCAGACACGTGATACTTCTCCTATTCAAGGGTCTTCTCTCCCCGATGTCATCCTCGAGAGTGGTGTCGTTGGGAAGGTCACCCACTTCCTTTCTAACCCCATTGGTGGCAAGCCCGGTGCTGATGCCCCCGCTGCTGGTGCTGCCGGTGCTGCCCCTGCGGCCGATGGTAAGGCTAGTGCCCCCGCTAGTGCTGGTGCCCCTGCTGGCGCTGGTGGTGCTGGCGCCCCCAAGGCTGGCGGCCCTACTCCTCCCCAAGCAGTCAGGAAGTAGTGCGGACAGGCATTGATTCCTACCGATGCCAGTGCGACCAAAGGATGTCCCATCGCGTGATATGGTTGAACATTTTATATTCAATGACGAACTACTTTATCCGATTTGTTTGGTGGATTTGATTTCATTAGTATTGTTGTGGAGTGGTGTACGTATTGAAATTGAAGTACAATGCCAATTGTTTTTGAATCAAGTCCTAGTTCCATTCATTCGTACCATTAAGCAAGCAATGGTGTTGTGTTGTGACTCTTCCAAATCATAAAACCCCTCGAGCCCAATACAATTAGTAGAGCATGCGAGGAACAAAGCAAGTACACCGAGATCATAAAGTCGTTCAGCGCGATAGTCGATTTCCCATTCAGTCAGGTTTGACAGAAAACGAGCGCTTTTGAGGGTATCGAATCATTATGTGCGAGAAAGGGGCAGCCCAGCCCAAAGAAACCCAAAGAAAAAGAGAGAGAAAAACACAAAAAATAGTGAGACAAGAAAAAGAGCGAGAAGAAGATCGGATGAGTCGACCAAAGCAAGAGAAAGAAAAGGGTATATCGCTCAATCCGACTGGAAATCCATATCGAGATCATCCACCTCTACCGTCGTACCCAGCGCTTCTTTGCCTTGCCGAATCATATCTTGGAGTTGTTTATTCAGCCGTTGGATACTGGCGTCTTCTTCGCGCTCTTTCCGACGCATCCGCGCTGCGTATTTCTGCATTTCCGCTGACCCAGGACCATTCTGTGATCGTGGTGATGGAATAGCAGTACTCTTTGTAGGTGTAGATGGTCGCACAGACAAGCTTGGTCGTTTGGCGTGGCGAGGCATCACGGCTTGTCGTCGTCGCGGGCTTGAGGCTTGATGGATACGACGAGCTCGGAGAGCGGATGGACTATCGGTGCCATCGTTTCCATCATTTCCAAAGGAATCGGCGGATTCACCGGGGACAACTACCCAGCTTCGATCGATGTCCTCGTCTGGATATTGTCCCGGGATGGGTGTGCGGAAGATGCGATCTTTCTCAGTAGAGGTACTGGGACCGGCTTGCCAGGTTGGTGGTGGACCAAACTGTGCTGGGGAGCCAGTGTGCATGTCATAGCCTTGTCCACCGCCAGCGTAGAAACCCTTGAATGCGCCAGACCAGCAGAGATCGAGGACTTTGCCTGCTGCGTTGATCACCGTTCGTCCCCACCCGACTCGTGTGGCTGGGCTCGGTAGATCGGTATCGGCCGCTGGTGAGGCGATGTTGGAATCACGGCGGGTGCGTTTCCGACTGTTTCCAGCTGGAAGTAGAGAATCGACGCTGGCATCAAGTGATGGAGGCAGAAAGGATTCGCGGTATCGGTTGGGTCGGTAGTCGAAATCGGCGGAGGCATGGTACTCTTCGCTACTTGGTTGGCGGAAATCGGTTGAGATCAGCGGAGAGGCATTATTGTGGACTTCAGATGAAGGGTCGAATTTAGATGAAAGGGTTGCGGTGTCACGACGGGGTCGTTTGCGACTGAGAGAAAGCGAGTAGAGTGAGGAAGATGCGGAGGTGGAGGAAGGCAGCTGGAAGAGCTGCGAGTTGGCACTGGCGAGATCGACCTTGGGGGGTGAGGCCGCGTGCTGAAAGACGGCGTGCATGTCGGGCATAATGAGGAAAGAGAAAGGACAAAAGCAGAAAGGAGGCGAGTCTCCTAGCTGGTGGAGGGAAGAAGAAAAAAAGAGAAAAAGCAAGTTGAGATGGAGAGGAGAACTAAACAATCCCTAAAGCTGACTAGTGCCGACCACGAGTACACACCGTACATACAAGTACTCTACTCTGTTCACTACATCTCAGACATCCCAGCCCCCCCCTGCTTCAAAATTTATCCCCCAACCACCAACCACCGACTACTACAGTCGTTGGCTGGTCCACTGGACTCCAGCTGCCTCCAGTCCTTCGTCACCATCTACCAACACACACCATCCCTCGCCGCCCTGTCCGCCATCTCCCGCAATCACCGCCTCAAAGTTGGCATGGGCAAATTCCAGCACTGAATCATCGAAGGTCCCCGGTTGCAACCAGACAGCAGGGATACCAACGGAGTGTGCTTCCTGTAGTACTTTGAGGGTCACTGGAGGCGGAGTCACCACCGACAACGAGGTCTGCGTCGGGGAGGAAAGTCCGGATGGCGAGGGCACTGTATCGTAGGCACGCGAGGGAAGAGAGATTTGCGCTGCTCTCGGGTTGAGGGGAGTCACAGGTAGTGAATGTTGGTGATACCATGCGAGGACTGAAGAGAATGAAGTGTTAGCGAGTTTGGCCTATAGTTAAGAGATTCGGGATCCGGCTCAGCCTACGCTTATATCCAAACTTGTGGGCGTCGTTGCTGGCGCCCGCCACGGCGAAGCGCGGAGAGGAGAAGAATCTTTTGACGGGATCCATGGGGATGGTGTAGAGTAATGTGTGTAGGGAGTCAGTGGAGGGAGGTGAGGGGGATTGTAGATTGTAGATGAATTCCCCGCGGGGCAGTAGGGTAGTTACTGAACGTACTAACTAACTAACTAGTGGTGAACCACTACTAGAGTTGACTGAGGTACCTGCCATTTGTATGGCACTCCCATACAAACTGCAAGTACCTTCAACCTCGGCCGCCGCCGACCTTCCACTCCCGCGCATCTCCATCCTCCGCCATTTCTCATCGACCCACTCCATTTCCCCAAATCCACTTCTACAACTTCCTTCAATTCAAGTCGCATGCCACCTTTCGTCCCTCGCAAGCGCTCCCACTCCGAGGACCCGCCCCCGCCCAAACGTCAGGCCCTTGATGTCTCCGCCAAGCCCTTCTCTATCGATGAATCCGACTCGGATTCCTCTGAGAGCTCCTTGAGCGACACACCCGCCGATAACACCCATGGGTCGCGTATCCCTGTATCAGATGACGACGAAGATGAGGAGGAAGATGAAGATATCGATTGGGAAGACGCGATCGACCCCAAGACAAGCGCGACTACCCCAAGCCTCGCTGGCCCCGAGCTCCAGGATCTAGAATTGACCCTCGATAAGAATGAGGCCCACGTCTCGGATTTACTCGACGGCAAGAAGGGACCAACCAAGATTGAACGTCATATTCGGATTCAGTCCCACTGCATCCATGTTCAATGTCTACTCTACCACAATGCCATTCGCAATGCCTGGATCAACGATGCCAAAGTTCATGAGACATTACGTCATAAGCTGCCGGGCGGGATTCACAAAGAAGTTAAGAAATGGCGAATCGCAACCGGGTTGGATATCCCCGAACGAAAGCCCGACCCGCCCAAATCTAAGAAAAAGAAAGGAAAGCAGGCCAAGAAGAAGGAAGAATGGGGCCCGGAAGCAGAGCGACTGGAACCCGGCCAGCCAGATATGAGTCGCGGAGATCCGATCATCACCCTGCTCAAGGTCCTGGTGGCCTGCTGGAAGAATCAGTTTCAGATTACGGCCCCGGGTCTCAGAAAGCATGGATATCGCCCCGTGGCCTCCCTCGAGGAGATCATTACTGACTTCAGGAAAGAGGAACACGACCCAGAGCGCCATGGGGAGCGCATTGCCAACATCGATGAATTTCGAGCTGTCGCCGAAAACATGCAGGGCTCCCGCGATGTTGGGGCCCAGCTCTTCACAGCTTTGATCAGGGCGCTGGGAATCGAGGCCCGACTCGTGTCGAATCTACAACCGCTAGGATTTGGCTGGACAAAGGCGGAAGTTTACACACCACCCAAGACAGATGCAGTTCCCACGAACACCAACCCTGAGAACGGCCCTGGGGAGTCCGAATCAACGCCTGATGTGGAGGAAGATCCGCCTAAAGCGAAGAAAGGTAGTGCTCAATATGACAAGGATCTCCCTTTCCCAATCTACTGGACGGAAGTCGTTTCTCCTGCCACGAACGAAATCATTTCTGTGGACTCTTTGGTGTTGCCGAAGCCCCTGGGACTAAGCGCCGACCAACAAGAAGCCTTCGAGCCACGTGGTGCCAAAGCTGATCGTGCTAAGCAAGTAATTTGCTACGTGATTGCACACTCGGCGGATGGAACCGCCAAAGATGTCACCACTCGATATCTTCGACGGCGGACATGGCCCGGAAAAACTAAAGGGTTTAGATTCCCAGTGCAGAAACTACCAATACCAGGCCTCCGAGGTCAATACTTTGAATACGATTGGTTCCGGAACGTCATGCGTGGGTACATAAGACGTCCAGACAAACGAACCAAGGTGGATGAACAGGAGGACGAAACAGATCTCAAACGGAAACAACCAGAGAAGAAGAAAACCACACAAGCAGGAGATACCCTCCAGAGTCTTCGAACATCCACCGACTTTGTGCTTGAACGTTTTCTACGACGTGAAGAAGCGCTCAAGCCTGGCGCAGAGTCTGTTCGCACATTTACGGCCGGCAAAGGAGCCCGTGCTAAAGAGGAACAGGTTTACAAAAGAGCCGATGTGGTTAAATGCATGTCTGCAGAAAGTTGGCACAAGGAAGGACGACAGATCCAACCCGGGGCCGCACCCTTGAAGAAAGTACCTATCCGAGCAGTGACTCTCATGCGCAAGCGCGAGGTCGATGAGATGCAGCGTGAAACGGGCCAGAAACCGATGCAGGGTCTTTACGCGCGCGATCAAACCGAGTACATCATACCACCACCTATTGTTGATGGCAAGATCCCCAAGAACAACTACGGCAATATCGACTGTTTCGTGCCAAGTATGATACCCCGTGGCGCAGCCCACGTTCCCTATTCGGGCACTGTTCGACTGTGCAAGAAACTTGGAATCGATTACGCAGAAGCAGTTACTGGGTTTGAATTTGGTTCTAAGATGGCGGTCCCTGTTATCCAAGGCGTTGTCGTGGCAGCCGAGAACGAAGACTTGCTCAAAGACGCCTGGCGTATTGACGCAGCTGAGAAACGCAAAAGGGAAGAGCTCAAGGCCGAAAAGCGGATATTGCAGACCTGGCGCAAGTTCTTATTTGGCTTGCGCATTGCGGAACGTGTTCGGGAGGAATATGGTGGTGGAGATCCTTTTGCGGACCGTGAGCGAGAGGCACAGAATCCATTTGCATTGCGAAAGAAGCACAATGAACAACACGAGCCTGATGAGAAACATGATGATGATCATTTTGAAGAGGACTCCCATGATCCTGTTGATCATGGTGGTGGGTTCCTCCTACCCGGCGAAGACGATGGCGACGACCACTTGATTGTTGAGGAACACAAGCAGGAAGATCGTATTGCTGAAGATGATTCCGATGATGGAGAACTATCACCGCCAATTTCCATATCATCGGAGCCGGATGAGGACCAGGAGGCGAGCGTTAAGGATGATCCCGAGTCTGATTATGCCCCTCCAGCGCGCAGTGGCGTACGACGTCGTCGACGTGGTGGATAGATTTGCAATAGATAAAACTTATTGTAATCTAGAAACTTGCTGTACAATAGCGACTTGAACTGAGTTACAAGTTCCTATTCTCCGGGCTATCTTTGATTTACTAGTAAGACCTTAAATCGGGTACAAGAGCATCAACTGACATATCTGCCCAGATCCAGTTACAAGAAGCACCCAGAAGTTCCGAAGTTAAACTTGAAGCAAACCTGCATCTTGATTTCCAAACTTATTTCCAGAAAACCACTAGTATTCAGGATTCCAAAGAAGAACTTGCTAAAAACACTACCAACATGCGACCTCGGGAGTACCCTCCGGACCAGGATAATCCAGTCCATAAAAATAAGAGCTTTCGTTCCAAAGTGACCAACTTTTGATTTCGCCGCCAATCGCGCTGTAATTTGCGATACATCGCTTTCCAGGGTAATTGGGCTGATCAAAACCACGACTGAGGCTATCCAAATCAGCTCAGAACTAGCTTGCTCAGCACATGTACAGCAACTTCCGTTCTATTTCCCAGACTGCGTGCGCTGATCAATCAAGCGTTGAATCTCTTGGACGAGTTGATTGGCCCGACGCTTACTTTTCTGCACCTCGACAGCTTCGACAGTGAGAACCGAGCGCTTGTTATAGTATGCTCTGAACTTTCCACGAGACCATTCCGACGTATGCCTTATCACGTTGTCCTCCTGTCCATCTGGAATGCTTGACTCGAGCTGGACCCTTTCAAGCTCTTTGGTCGGATCATCTGAGTCTGAGTATCTAGCAATGTAGTTTATTCTTGAAGCGATAACGTTCATGGATAATAGTAGAAGTCCTAAAAGGACTAGGCAGAAATTTCTGTAGGTCGTCATTGTGAATTTTGAATTCTTCAGATTGATCTGCTAATATGGGCTTATTTGGAGACTTATTCTGATTGAGAGGAATAGAAGTAGGCCGATTCAAAGGCTATTTATACCTCCCCTCGGTCTTCTTTCTGGAGTGAGTGCTACTGTAAATGCATTGCGCCTTGGCTTACATGCTTGTAGCCATATAGTAGTCACCTTTCTGATAAATTCTATTTCGTAATGACTGTTGGGAATGTTAGCCAAGACTAAAGACGGCACACACAAGGTACGACGATGTGCCACCTGGACAACAATACTAATATCTGTGCATCATTGAAACTACTTAATAAAAAGCCAAACGAAGAAGGATCTGATTAGTTGCATCCAGGGTATTATCAGGTGGTCGAACCTCTAGATAATTTTATGACAATAGTAAGTATAAAGCGAGACTTACTCCGCGATTCCCGATTAATCCTTAACCAAGATGGCATGGAAACTTGAACAAGAACTGCAGGTAGTATATTGGAATTCCGTTCACTCGAATAAGAAGACACCTGGTGCTACCAATGCTAGTAGGCAAAACCTAAAATTGAATAAGAGAGCTTTTGTGCTCGCTACACAGTTACATAATAGAGAACGTGGATACAACCCAATCTTCTTGCTTATTTTCCTCTAGCTTGTTCAATGGCACTGGAGTCTGACACCACTCCTAATCGCCATAACTTAAATGAAACACGCATACCTATAACACGAAAGGGATTTAATACTAACTCCTAAAGTTCCAGGTATTACTCAATGAGGGCCCTTGGCCATAATCGGCCCGATGGAAATGGCAAATTGTGGCCCTATGAAGACCTCGGATGAACCAACACTTCAAATAGTGACCCTGCCAGAAAGAGATGTACGCTCTATGATAATTATGCTGCTGGAAGCGAGAGTTCATAGAATTGGTATGACCAATACGAGCCGCGACACCGTATAACTTGAACCATTCCATATTTACTAGAGGTTACTGTGGCATGCATGACCCAATGCACCGATTCAACTTCTACACTCCATCCACCGCAGCCTGGGTACATACTACTAGCGATAGAGATACATACAATGAAACTCTTATCATTTCATCAATAGAATCAAATTTCTATGTGCAAATTTCCTAACAAACTTTTTGCTCGTAATCATGACATGAAGACAAGTCCGTGATATCAAATAGACCTGTGGATCCGAGTCGACCCCCATACGGAATCGAGATTGAAGGGGGTATTAAGAACTGACCGTCTAACAAACAAGCAAGCCCACAATATAAGAAAGAAAAAAAACAAAGACAAAACGAGATTGGAGCAGGATTTGAGAAAAAAATGCAAGTTCAAACGATTGTCAATTCAGTAATCCGGAAAGACTCCTCATACCTATGCTGAAGCTTTTCATTATTTCCAGCCTCCATAGATCTGATCCGTAGAGAAAAAGGAAAGACGTAACATTTAGCGTCTCTGACCACGTCCACCACCACCTCGGCCACCGAAGCCGCCGCGATCACCGCCGCGACCTCCACCACGACCGAAGCCTCCACGATCCCCTCCACGGCCTCCACCACGGCCGCCACCGCGACCTCCGAAGCCACCACGATCACCACCGCGACCACCACCGCGGCCACCGAAGCCGCCGCGATCACCACCGCGGCCGCCACCGCGACCAAAGCCACGATCGCCTCCACGACCACCTCCGCGACCACCGCGGCCGGGGCTGAAACGCTTTTCAACCCGACCATCGGGGGCACCAGGGGTCTTGGGAGCACCAAGACCACGACGACCGGGGCCCTTGGAGCGGAGATTCTCACCGACTGCGGCAGCCTCATCCTCATCCAGGTCCATATCATCGTGACCACGCTTTGCCTGGCCCATCTTGACCTTGCCCTTTTGACCACGACGAACAGCATCGGGGCCACTGACAGCAGCGAGATAAGCGTTGACACCGCCGGATCCTTCACCAGCACCGCCCATCTCGACATCAGCATCAGCATCATCATTACCGAGAATGAGGCGGCCATCTGCGTCGAACTTGGCATTGCGCTTCTTCTTAGAGCCGGGTCCAGTGTTCAGGAAGCGATCGCTAGGCTTGGTGGTGGAAATATTGGCGAGAGCGTCGGGAGCCAGCAGATCCAGCGGGTTATCTTCGGGGATGTCTCGCGAATGTACTGAGTGCTCTGGCCAGCCCTCTTCTTGCCTCCAGAAGCCTTAATACGAGCTTGTCCGTCATCCACATCGATATCACTGGCGCCATCATCAGACTCGTCGTCGGAATCGGAATCAGAGCCGTAGACTGCCTTATCGAAAGCGTTTCCGGATTGCTGGGCACCGGCCTTCTCCTCGTCTTCATCCTCCTCATCATCATCGGCAGCGCCCTCCTTCTTCTTGCGCTTGCTGCGCTCACGCTGCTTGCGAATATTCACAACCAGTTTGCGGTCTTCCTCGCCGACAAGGGCCTCCATGAGCGGAGCACCGAAGCGTCGAACCAGTCGGTCGATGATACCCTTGACCTTACTGCGGAGACGACCTTTGTGCTCCTTGTTCCAGGCCATCAGGTTAGGAACAAGTGCCGACAAACGCGGGCGCAAAGCCTCATCAGGCAGGATGACAACAGCAACCTTGACGAAGCCAAGGACAGAGCGAACGATCTCACGGTTGTTGCTGGTAAGGAAGAGCTCGACGGTCTGGACCAGATCGCCAAGAATCTCAGGCTTCAATTTGCTCTGGTACTCGAAAAAGAGACGGGATAGCGCAGTGACGGAAGCAGCGACCATATGAGGAGAGGAGCCAGCCAGACCGGCAGAAACCATGGTGAAGAATTCTTCAATGGTGGCAGGGGCATCAGGTGAGTCGTCTGGCATGTGAGGTACCAGTGAGTTGCGAATCATAGTGCCTGCAGGGTTGCGCTCCTCATCACAGGTGCGGTTGGCGAGGTGGATAAGAAGATCGAAGGCAGCGGTACGTGCCTTCTCGTTACTCTCCTTGCATCCCAGGACAACCTCTGACAGAATGGAGGGAATAAAATGGAGGTCAGAAGTAGGAAGGTGTGTGATGAGCTCGTGAATCGCGAGCATGCGGTCTCGTCGACCAGACGCGGGGGTCTTGTCTGTAGTCGCAAGCATCAGAGCATGAAGCTCACCGCTGCGCTCATTGAGAGCCTCTCGACCAGTCTCAGTCGAAGCGAGACGGGGGATAAGCTTGTATGCCTTCTTGATCAGTTGTTGATCGGGGTTAGGCGACGATCCGTTGAGAATAGCGGCAGCCATGCCGAAAAGTCCGGCAAAGCTTGAGCGGGGCAGGTAAATAGACATGGCGATAACCAGATCGATCAAAGTGTGGGAAGTTGGCGGCATCTTTGCGGATGATCCTTGAGGGGCGGGCATCTCCTTCTGCTCCTCGGTCAAGGATGACTCGAGCATTGTGATCACACGAGTGAAGGTCTCATTGAGCTCCTGTGAAGTATTAAGTTAGTCGACTGTCCTTATTTAGATTAGACTTCCGGGGTGATATCTTACATTCTCGGGGGTGATGCTCAAATAGGCATTGATACATTGCAAAATGTATCCGCGGTGGTGCGGTAGCGTCTGGCTGTAGACGTTGAACAGCACGGCCAAAAGATTACTAGCGAAGCCAGACAGATGCTCAATGTTCTTGGTAGCAGCGGCCTTCGTGATTCGGCGCTGCAGGATCAAGTCGTCTTGCTCAGCCTCGACAGAAAGAATAGCCTGGTTGGACTCGACCAGGTTCTGGAGAGCGCGGCAGACCTCGACACGCAGCTCAGTCTGTTTATAAAGAACGTTGGATAGAAGCTCAGCGAAGCTCTGGTCAAAAGCCTCAACAAGATCGAGAGGCAGTTCACAGTAGCCCGGCAGAATACCCCAAGTCTGTTGTACCAAAGTCTCGAAGATCTTCACTTCGACGGACTTCTCGGCAGCACCAAAGTCAACAATCTTCTGGTAAAGCGCCTCACTCAGAGGAACCATCTCTGAGCGGAAATGACGCAGGTTTGTGTTGGTAACACTATCACGGAGAATAGGCAGCATCCAAACGCGACCGGGTTGGCCCTTCTTTTGCTCGATGATGTTCAAGGGCAGAATTTCAAGGATAGCCTCAGGGCCCATTGCCTCAATGGCACTGCTTAAAACACCATCGG